TGTATAAAAATACAACTGCGTGAAACACACAGTAGTATGAAACTTCAACTGCATGAAATAAACAGCAGTATGAAAATTCGGCTGCGTGAAACACACAAACTTCACGCATGCTTGGAGTGTATGGAGTGTACGGGAGTGATTCACGCAATGGTGCGAACAGTCACGGCCATTCATTATTTCATCTCATTTTGTTGAATTCACTTAAATTTTTTCTTTTGTTAATTGTATTATATTTTTAATTTAGTTTAATATTTAATGAAATTTCAGAAATCAAAGAATATATATCTATACTATTCATTTATTCAATGAAAGTGAAGTCAAAGTAGGTTGTTTTAATGATAATTGAATCAATTTTAAACTTTCTTTTTCCTATTCAAATAATCAGGGGAAGTAAATTTTCCAAAAGATGGAAATCCACAAAGTTTTAAATGCTATGAGAATAATTTCCGAATTCTTTTATGAATTGAATGAAAGAATAATGTTATTTATATTACGGAATGAATTTGAAACATCGTATTTGAAGAAACCATCAGAAAGTTCACTTTCAGAGCAATTTACGAAAAATTCTACGCTGATAGAAAGGCTTATTTATTGTTAGCAAATGGATTTGGTTCGAGGCTAGGGTCTATTCGTTTCACCAAATGTTCATTCGTACAACGAATTTCTCATTCTCCACATAGAACCTTCTAGAACCATGAGTTTCTCAAAGTCAATAACGTGGTTCTGGAATAAATATCCATTTAATTACCCTGATTGTTGGGAATGTTTTCTTCGCTGGTGTACTGTGAACTCCAGGTATACTCCCATGGGTCCGCCGTTCACTCTCATAACGAAACCTAAAAGCTTTACTAGCGGGCTGTTCTATGATCTCCACGTAAGCTTCAGCTCTCATATTGATACTCGATGAATTGTTTTAAAAAGAATTTCAGTTCGATTTATAATTATTTTTTAATACACCATTCACTAACACGTATTTCTGGCACCTGTTCGTACAGTTGACTGACGGAAAAGTATTTTCAGCCCTCTTTATATGAATAAAAGGTACAATCTGATTGGAGAAATTAACCACGTGTCCCTTACCTGTGTGCGAAAGAGGGTCGCATGGGCTTGAAGAGTGGATTTCTTAAGACGTGCAAATGAGTGAGGATAAGCCTTTGTCGTTCAGTTGTGAGTCATTATTATTCGGATAGTTGGGTAAAAAGAAAAGACTAAATTTCTGTATAGCTATTTTCGTGCATTAAATGGCGAGTCATTTATTGGGTAAATATTTACACTTTCGATCAAATCGTATCCTAAAATTGCTCAAAGATTGGTAAATTATCGTAAACAGTGTCGGAATCCACTTCTTCAATTTCTTCAGAGTTTATTTCTCTCATGATAAGGTCATTGTCGCTCAAATTTTTCCTCAGAGACTTGATCAGTGGCTTCATTATTATCTCTCGTGGAGCTTCTTCGTTACTTGGCGCTGATGTAGAAAATTCCACTGGCGGCGGGGGTCCTAACGTTTTCTCAGATGTGGGGATGTTTAATGTCTTTCGGTAGAAGTTCTCACTCTTCAAGTTGCTCATCGAATTGAAATTTGCATAGTTTTGTACTTGAGCAGCATTCATTTCAGGTGCACTGTACTTCTCGATCTCTTGCGGTGTAATCCTCTCATTCATTATGTTAGTCACGGGATTCTCCTGTTTTTTACCGTGAATTTCACAGTCAGGGTTCAAAATGGGGTGTGGGATACAATCGCAATTGCTTCGTTTGAGCAAATTGATCACCGCAGCGTTTTGTTTTCTTGGCGAATTTTTTTTATTGCAAGGCGCGGGCTCAAATTGAAAGGGCACTGGCTCGCTCATATCACCGTCTGATGGTCTCACTAATTGTATGAAGACTGATACTGGTTCTGAGACGTTTACATTGTGGTAGGCAGGAGTCCGAAGTTTGATTGATATCTGTTAGCATAGAAATAGATAGAGCGGCAGAGTTAATTACGGTTCATCTCTAGCAGAAATTGATCGAAATTGTGCGACATTGAGCCAAAGGGCCTATGCCGATAACATTGAATGTCGCGCGCCAACTCACCACGTATGAAAAAATCGTATAGAAATTTTCTATACGGTTGCGTATAGAAATACTATAGCATTTCCGTACATGGAGAGAAATATATGTGTTCAGTAAAAATTACAGAACGCTCTGGAAAAATTCCGTTACAGTTCCGTAAAATTTCCTACAACCACATTTCGCTTCGGAATTACGGAAAAGATACGTAATTTTTATTGATTATTTTTCTCACTCGGATTTCAGCCAATCAGAGCGCAGTGTTTGAGCTTTAGCTTTTCAAATGTTTCTCATCTTTCAACGCATTTCACGTTTAATATTCTCTGTGACAGATAAACAAAAAAGTGGGTTGTAAATGTATGGCTGTGTAAATGTATCCGGATGCTGTTCACTGCACTCTGCTTGGCCGAAATCCGAGTGGAAAAATAATCCGTCAAATACCACTCGTATTTCAATATTCATCGGATATTTTCCGATGCTTCCCTGCCTAGGGACGAGTGTGTCAAGTTTTAAACCTGCAAAATTTAACACAATCGTTCCTAGGCAACGAAGCTATCGGAAAATATCTGATAATTTTGAAGCATTAGAGGTATTACTATTGATTATTTTTGGTAATCGGATCTGGTTTTCCCTGAGGCAATCAGAGTTCAGTATTCAATAACAAAATAGAACTGAAAGTTACAATTCTCGTTGACTTTTCCACAAAACTCTGAATTTTCAAAGACGAAATTCCCTGAAATTTCAGTGGTAATGAACTTCCATAAAAATTTCTCCAGTGTACCGGAAATTTCATACAAAAATTTTTAACAGTGCAGGAAATATCAGAACACGTGTGCGGGAAACAGCCAGTTTTATAATACGATTGCACCTCCTCTACAAGTTACGAAAGGAAAAATTCCAAAGTCCGTTCGAACAATCATTTGTTGAAAACAATAAAACCAGAGTTTATTACCTGCTTGAAAAAATAGAGATACTTGGGATCAGCGAATGCCTGCCACACAACACGCCCCTCCTTTTCCTCGAAGAACCGTACTTGAATATCGCTCCTGGCTACCTTCCTACAAAGCATTGTAAGTTCCGTGCCTCCAGCCGCTGAGCCTGTATGCGTAGTTAGACGACATATCTCGAGTACATTGAATTTTTTCTTGTCATAAATGGGTTCTGAAACCACTGAGCACACCGCCTGAGGTTTTTTTGTTATTGGATTTTCAGTAACCAATTGGAAACATAATCTGACTGAATTAAAATCAATTGCACTGATGTCGGAGTCTTCCCATCCTGAACAGGGGAATGGATTCAATGGGAAGGTGAATCTCGTCATGAGAGCTCGCTTTGCATCTTCTTTTGGGACACACTGAAGTTTGACAGTGGAAAAAGTGACTTCGGGCTTATGGGGCTCAACTGGTGCACTAATGATACCAGGGAACAACCTTTGGCAATTGTTCATCGCCTCGCCACTAACTAGACTGTGGGGATGTATACGATAAGGCTCATCTTTTGTCACGCAAGATACTACTATGTAGGCGATTGCTCTCAATCCAGTTACCTGAAATAGAGCGACAATCTTCAATATAAGAAACAAGCGGGGACAGCGAGCATATGACAGTGAACATGTCACCAAGTGATGTCTTATTTTTCACCATCAATACATTGACGGTGGGTTTCCGAATGGTCTGAAATATTACAAAAGTTTACAGCTTTACAATACTGACTAGGGATGGGTGATGTTTGTCGATTACTCGAAAACATCGATTTTTCATGCACGAAGAGAAATATTCAATAAAAATTACGTATCTTTTCCGTAATACCGGAGCGCAATGTGATTGTGGGAAATTTTACGGAACTGTCACGTAATTTTTACCTAAAATCACGGAATTTTTCTAGAGCGCTCCGTAATTTTTACCTANAAGGAAAAATTCCAAAGTCCGTTCGAACAATCATTTGTTGAAAACAATAAAACCAGAGTTTATTACCTGCTTGAAAAAATAGAGATACTTGGGATCAGCGAATGCCTGCCACACAACACGCCCCTCCTTTTCCTCGAAGAACCGTACTTGAATATCGCTCCTGGCTACCTTCCTACAAAGCATTGTAAGTTCCGTGCCTCCAGCCGCTGAGCCTGTATGCGTAGTTAGACGACATATCTCGAGTACATTGAATTTTTTCTTGTCATAAATGGGTTCTGAAACCACTGAGCACACCGCCTGAGGTTTTTTTGTTATTGGATTTTCAGTAACCAATTGGAAACATAATCTGACTGAATTAAAATCAATTGCACTGATGTCGGAGTCTTCCCATCCTGAACAGGGGAATGGATTCAATGGGAAGGTGAATCTCGTCATGAGAGCTCGCTTTGCATCTTCTTTTGGGACACACTGAAGTTTGACAGTGGAAAAAGTGACTTCGGGCTTATGGGGCTCAACTGGTGCACTAATGATACCAGGGAACAACCTTTGGCAATTGTTCATCGCCTCGCCACTAACTAGACTGTGGGGATGTATACGATAAGGCTCATCTTTTGTCACGCAAGATACTACTATGTAGGCGATTGCTCTCAATCCAGTTACCTGAAATAGAGCGACAATCTTCAATATAAGAAACAAGCGGGGACAGCGAGCATATGACAGTGAACATGTCACCAAGTGATGTCTTATTTTTCACCATCAATACATTGACGGTGGGTTTCCGAATGGTCTGAAATATTACAAAAGTTTACAGCTTTACAATACTGACTAGGGATGGGTGATGTTTGTCGATTACTCGAAAACATCGATTTTTCATGCACGAAGAGAAATATTCAATAAAAATTACGTATCTTTTCCGTAATACCGGAGCGCAATGTGATTGTGGGAAATTTTACGGAACTGTCACGTAATTTTTACCTAAAATCACGGAATTTTTCTAGAGCGCTCCGTAATTTTTACCTAAATCTTCTGTGAAAAATTACGATACCGTCACTTAAATTTTCTGAGTCGATTCCGTAATCGGTGAGCGAACTGTGAGTTCCGTAATTTTTACTGAGCCTTTCTCTCCGTGTGCCCAAACATCGATGTTTTATCGATGTTAACAAAATTTGAGATGCAAAATAGCCTCAATTGCCATCCAGCGTGATATGAAATCCAAGCTCTTCTTATCAATTTTTCAATTTGTCAAATTGTGAAGTGCATCTTCTAGACCGTTCTCTGACGAATAAATTTAATTTAATGAGGACCATTTTGTATTTCCACAATTTTCGTTTATTTTCCCAACCATTTTCATTGTAACCTGAGCGGAGTGCGCGAAGGGGCCCGCGCGGGCGCCTCCGCTCTCCGCGACCTTTTCTCAAAGGTGTTAACTCGATAATTATGAGAGGTAAAAGGAATAAAAATAATAAGGCAAAATATATGTATTTTTAGATGAGGAACATTTTTTCTTTGAAGCATTTTTGCCCAGCTCGAACTATTTCTGCAAAATCGCGTTATACACAATTAAATTGTTATAAATAAACAAGACTAACCACAGCTCGCAAAAACCGTTAACATATTCCTATTCAGGGTTCCCGAAAACATAAAGTCCAATAATAAAATTGAATGGACCAAAAAGTGTGTACGGAACCTGTCAGCGTATGGACTAATACCAAAATATTACCGAAATTTACTTACACGTATTTTTGGAAATGTCGTGCATTCTTTAGTACTGTTTACCCCTATTAAATTTCCCGACGGTCGTCCCTCACTTTCATAACGAAATCGCACGGCTCTGGGTGCCGGTTGTTCAACTATTTCAATGTACAGATTATTTTTTTGAGCTGTGATATTCATCCTTTATATTTATTGTCACCACAATTCAAGTATTCACTACAATTCTAGTGTTTCTAAAATATTTATGGGCAAGTAAGTGTGGTTGGTTTTGTCACGTTCTTGTTCAAACGACTGACCCGAGCATCAATCTTCCAGGTATTTATATTTGCTCGATAGAACAACAATCATGTGCGATTGGTGAATGAGAATACGAAGGGAGCACCGCAGGGTGCCTCAGGTAGAAGCCGCTTATGAAAAGTAAATGGGAATTACTTAAGAAATATTCTTGACGGGGTTTCCACGAAAATGTTTATTGCAGGGTTGACAAGTACAGGTAATAAGTTGTACCGCGGAATCTCTAATAATCCCTCTTCTGTGGCAATAAAAAAATGAAAATTTTAATGTTCCACTATTCCTTTGTCTCTTTCCCAAAGCGGCCTATATAAGGGGCGCCCTGGACGTCTGACGTCTAGGACTTTGGACAAAACAACCATACAAGAGAGAATCCAGAACTTCACGCACGAAAAAATTTAATAGCAAAAACCTAGCGAATTCGCTAGACTATACCCAAAAAAAAATTTCTTGATTTAAGAAGGAACCTCTCCTTGATATGAGTAGGATTGAATTAAGTCGAGAATCTACTCATTTAAAGTAGATTTTGTCGGCTAGGGTCGAGTATCTCCAAAAAATGTCAAGTCGATTTGGCGGATTGATTCAAGTCGATTCCTACTTTATTTAAGTAGAACCTCTACTCAATTTAAGTAGAATGTCTACTCGATTAAGTAGGGCCTGGCTTGATTCAAGTAGAGCCCCTCTACTCGAGTCAAGTAGAGCTCGACTTGATTTAAGTAGAGCCTGTACTTGATCCAAGTAGAACTCGACTAGACTTGAGTAGGATCTTTACTCGATTGAAGTTAGTGAAGGAGGAAGGTTTGTGAATTTATTTGAAAACCTCTTTGATAATCGGAAGGTTCCGGGTTCAAATCCCGGTCTGGACTATCGATTTTTTTCAGTAAATATTTCTTGTTAATTCATATTGAGAATAATCCCGGATCCCCTCCTACCTCATCCAAATCCTATCCAACTAATTTCCTATGACGTCAGAAAGATGTGGAACGCTATATAAATTCCCTTCTTTAATGACGGGCACCCCCCTCGTGCTGCGCACTCGGGATTTTTAGCCTGCAAAACTTGACACTTTCGTGTGTTTGCAACGAAGCTATCGGGAAATATTCCGATAATTTTGAAGGTCTCGGATTATTATAACTGAGAATTCCTTAGAATTTTCTAGCGAATCCGTTAAGGTTTTCTATTGAATTTCTTTATACGTGTGAGGCCAAGGATGAACGAATAGAAATTATTCTCAACGATCTTGATGGAACAATGGTCCTGTGGGATTGGTAAATGGTTGTAGGGAGTAATGCAAGTAATATTTATTGCAAGAAACAAATATGTGAAATTTATTGAACATAGAAATCGTTCGACTGTATTTGTACAAAAATAAAAGTTGCAAACGTGACCAGTTACAGGAAATAATCCAGAATTATTAATACTAGGGTTCCTACAATAAAACGACGCACGAAAAAATTTAACAGAAAAACCTATCGAATTCGTTAGAAAATTCTATTGAATTTCTATTAAACTTCCTATTAGTTTTTGGCTGATTCTATTGGCATGTTCAATAGAAAACATACAATAGAAAAAGTCAAGAGAATTCGTTTTTTCTATATAACTTATTCTTTTCATATATTTTCTATAGAATTTGCTCGACTCAAATTTTCTAATTTTTTTTCATTCTGTTTTTCTTTTCTTTTCATCAAGAAAATCAAACGAAAAAACTTGAGCCGAGGAAATTATATAGAAAATATCTCAATAGAATAAATTATATAGAAAAATTCAATTCTATTGATTTTTCTACTGAATATTTTCTATTGAACATTTCAATAGAATCGGCCGAAAACTAATAAACCCGTTCAATGAAAAAACAATTGGTTTTTTTTTTAATTCGCCTCTCACATGGCTAACTTTGCTTTTTTTGTATTTTTTTACACAAATAGTTTACACAAAAAGTGTGTGCAAATAGTGTTTTGCGCACTTATGATGGACACACTGTGTTCAGTTTCATTTTTTCAAAAATCTTTTTCTCGAAAAAATGTTCGGAAAGTAATGTTGATATTCCGTCTAAAAAATAGTCTCGGCCTATAAGCTCTAAAGAAGATTTCTCCTAGAAAAAAATTGCCCGAACTACTTGGATATCCTCAAGAATTCTTTCCTTCTTGACCATGTTTTCTCCTCAATTTATAAAAAAATTCCCCATGTATATTTCCAGTATTATTATGGCTTATGTTACGTGGGTAGGCGACAAAAAAACGATACGAACTATCAAAATTGTCCAATAGTAATACGCATTATCACAAAAACTATTTACATATCTGATGATGTGATGGTGGTTCTAGATAAATAGGCTCCGAAACAATTGGAATAATTGCTTGCAGCTTTCCAGTATTTGGATTCTTGATAAAAACTTGGAAGCATAATCTAACGGAATTAAGATCAATTTCCTCAATTTCCGAGTCATCCCATTCCGCATTGCCAAAGGGATTGACTGGCGCGTTTCTTCGTATGGCAAGTGCCTTTTTGACACCTTCTCTAGGTACGTACTGGAGCTTCACGTCATTGAATTCAGCAACGGGAAAATGTGGCTTGACTTGTGCATTGACAACTCCTTTGCAAAATTCCTCATGATTCCCCTCTTCCCAGTCGTGAATCAATTTGTGAGGATGCGGACGATAGGGCTCGTTGCTCGTCACGCAGGATACTTGGACGTAAGCGACGGAGGTTAAACTAACGACCTATCAAATGCAATTGAACTATTATTAGATAATTGTGGAAGTTTGAATCCTCACTGTTGAAAATGATTGTATTTATATGGGTCCTGCCACCAAATACCGTGGGCAAATCTCACCTCAACATTTTCGACAATTTTTTTTGTTTCTTTCGAATACTGCACCCACGAAAAAATTTAATTAAAAAATCTAGCGAATTAGTTCGATAATTCTATTGGGTTTCTGTTGAACTTTCTATTAATTTTTGGCCAAGTATACTGAAATGTTCAGTAGAAAATTTTCTATAGAATAAGTCAATAGAATTCGATTTTTCTATAGAACTCATTCTATTGAGATATTTTCTGGAGAATTTCCTTCGGTCATATTTTTTAAATTTGTAAAAGTCTTTTCGTTTACTTCTAAACGAAAAAGGCACCGTTCGGCTACTCGTTGAACGTAAATCACTGTCAAAAAATATTGTTCGACACATGTGAGACGAGAATTTTCAGCTCGTGTGATAGGCAACTTTACATTCGTAAAAATTCCATCTCACTCGTATCGAAATGCACTATTTCGCATCAATTCGATTAGAAATTTTCCAAATGAATTAACAATTATTAATTATAAGTAAATTTGAGAAAATATGGCAATTGACTGAAAAGGGACAATACATCCTTAAGGTACAAAGAAGTTTGTCCGATGGCATAAGTTTCCGCGGCAAGAATCTCAGAAATTTGGTATAGTCAAGTCAAAGTCTAGTCGTCCTGGCCGAAGAGTGGGCAAATTGAGTAGAGTGGGGGTCACTGGGCCTATGAAGCCCAAAGAACTTGCTTTCGCCTGGAGAACTATACATTGGCGCGGAGAACTATACGTCCACTTGACCAATTTCAGAGTTTTTTGCCGCCAGAGACTTTTTCCACCGGAGAAATTTACCTAAGAACGACCCATCCTTAATCCGTCAGCAGGAGCGCTCTTTTAGTGTCTCACTGGCAGCGTCGGGATGCTCTACAAGTTGTCTAACACTGCGTAGGAGAAAGTCTCATAGCGCGTCTATCGACGAGTTAACGATTGCCGTTTTTATCTTTTTTTTTAATACTCCCTAAGGAGGTATAGCGTAAAAAGTGTTGGAAAATTTCTAGGATTTTCTACAAAATTAAGCAATGTTTCATTGAAAGGAATCATATTTGCTTAATGATGACAGTGATAATACCCAAAACTTGAAAAAAAACAACAAAAAATTCTCGACTTTTCTAGAACATTTGAGAAAAAATCTTCGCTTTTCCAGAAAACTTGTTTTCTTTTTTAATCCACACAATTTCCTTAAAAAACAGAATTTTTAACTTTAGAAATCATCTAGTATGACTATACTCACACATATTTTCGGATACGTAGTATGATCTGGTGTACTGTTGATACCAATTATCCTTCCAGATACTTCTCCATCATTCTGGACGATTAATTCAACCCCTGTAGGCGCTGGCTCTTCAAAAATTAAAGCGTAGGGTGAGGCTTTCTTCATACTCAGATCCATTTATTACAGTCTCAAAGACAGAAATTTTTGAATTAAGCTACTAAAGGGAGTCAATGCTCGTTATGCGAGACCCACGTGCAAACGACTGAAGTATTCAAGTGTTTCCAAGGGATTTATATTCCATGGATACAGTAATCGAGTAAATGCATACGATTGGTGATGTTCACTGAGCACTGCAAAGGGTCTCAGGTAGAGAATATTTTGAGCCTCTACCTGAGCAGCCTCCACTCAGCAATACAAGGGAAAAAGGAATTTGAGTCAAGAAACTAAAATTCACGTACGAAAAGAATTTAATAGAAAAACCTAGCGCATTCTCTACGAAACACTCCTGGACATTTATAAAAAATCGCTCATTCTGTTGAAAAATTGCGCTGTTCTTCGGCGCTTTTTTTCAAGTGAAATGTTCCGAACCACTTATTCTATCCAGGAACTTTCTATAGAAATTCTTCGGCATTAATTTTCCATGTTTTTTTCAACTTTTCCTTTCTCGTTGAAAAATTCAATGAAAAAGCATGGAAAATTCAAGTCGAGAATTTTCTCTAGAAATAGTCTTGACAAAATAAGTCATTCAAAAATCAAATCAAGATCAAATTCTATTGATGGTTCTCTGTACAATATTTCCGCAGCGGAATTTATCAACAGAAATTAAATTTTAAAGGAAATTTTTTCCGCGTCCAACGATACCATTTAGATGTTTTTAAATGCAACTCCCATGTGATTAGATTACGAACGGAATTTTTAGTGGTGTGTCAGTTATTCTGATAAAATGTCAAACGTCTTTTTGCCGCGAAACTAATATCTACTATTTTCCTTCGATTTCCAACAATTTGTGCATTTCTTCCGTTGAATTAGCGGTGAAATGATGAATCAACTAATGTTTATCCATTCAACGCGTATACAATTATAAGAATCAGAAACTTCCAAATAAAAATTGAAATTCCCCAAAATAAATGTCCACGCGTTTATTGAGCCAAGATGTCAAGTCAATCCCATTCTTCCCCCGCTGTTCTGACCTTTTTCCCAATACGCATACACAGACAACACGTGGTGACCTGAAGGGACTGTGGATCCCCCGGTCTTTTTCATCTAAAAAAATGGCACTTCCAAAGCGTAGAGAATACAAGAATGAAACTTTGATTGAAAAATTTATCGTAAAAAAATCACTCCTTCAGTTAAAATTATATTTGGCAAAAAATAGTATATTTCGTCACTAGGCCGAAAGAAACTTTTTTGTCATTCCGGCCGTGAGGCAGCGCTTCACGGACGCTCCGCTCCGCTCCGCGACCGTGAATTTCTGCCTACGGCCATCGTAACAAAAAATACTGTTCGTCATACGGCCAAAAAATTTTCTAGCTCATATGATTGCAGCCCGAACCGAAGGCTCGGGCTGCAAACTCATATTCGCCAGAAAAGTTTTTTTCGGCCTAGTGACGAAGTATACTATTTTGGCCGTATGACGAACAGTATTTTTTGTTATGACGGCCGTAGGCAGAGATTCACGGACGCGGAGCGGAGCGCAGCGTCCGTGAAGCGCTGCCTCACGGCCGGAATGACAAAAAAAGAATTAAAGAAAGTGAGAATCCTGCTACCCAATGACGCGGGTTATCACATTCTTCTCCTGGAGTTTTTCCTCTGTGTATAAATAAATACTACAGGTGCAAAAAAAGACTATATTTCCTTTATTTGGAGTACATAAATGCTTACACGTGCGTCATTTATATACTGCGAGAGAAAACTATTAACAACATACATTTCATTTATAACAATAAACACAATATTATACATCATTATACAATCAAAAGAATAAAATATCACATTCAAGGAAAGCTTTGTGAATGAAATCTTGTAAATAATTCGCTGGTCGTTGAAACCGTGTTACTTTACGTTTGTGTACAGTTCTGTTGCGTCGAAATCTTGAGAAAAGTAACCAAATTATCACAGACTAGTGACAGATACTCTTCGATATTGCCGTTACTTCCATTGCCCCGAGACTTCTGGAATTTTTCGAGCAATCTTCAGACCAAGAGTTCTCTTTGTTTTCATTTTTTGTATTAATGAACAAATGGAAATCGATTACGGTTTGGTTCTTGTCAAACGTGTTCTCCATGTTATAAGCTAGACCGTTCATTGGAAAATAAGAGTTACAATTCATAAAAGGTTTACACTAGGGACCACTATCCCTTAAAAATCAAGAATTTTTATCTAACAATGACAGTAATTTTTTATGCAGCAACTTCTCAGTTTTAACTTCGCTCTATCAGAATAATCCAGACATAAAATCCGCTTCACTCATAGCGGACTTCATCGGAAACATAATTCATAAAAACGTTTCGCTTGAACATCTTGAGTAAACTCCTTCTAATCAATATCCTGTAAATAATGAGGATGTGATTAGATCACTTTCTATATTTTTTCAGTAAGTCGAATTAGCTTTTGGAGCTATTATGGACGAATTTTTTGTTTTTGCTTTGGAATGAAAGCATTGTATTCGTCAAATCCGAAATTACTATTTTTTTGAGTCAGGATCACTAATTTTGATCTAGCATTGCACGCCATTTTGAGACTCGCTCTTTCATTTGAGCCCAAAAAAACATTCACGTGTAGTCTGACATCTGTGCTACAAACTCTGGTTTTCAACTCTGGTTTTGAATTGATACTATTTTGAAAGAATAAATGCTTCTGTCAAGTAAATGAATATTTGGCAAAAATAATTTGTTTTTCTCATTGTACACACACACATATGTACATACATACATACATCCGTATGTGGTCTAAAAATAGCATATTCGAACTTGTGAGGCCAAAATTAGTCATCCTGACACAAAAAATTGGAAACTTTGGATTTGATAAATACAATGCTTCCATTCCAAAGCAAAATGAGTAAACCGAAAAAAATACGTTTTCTATGATCTATTTGAGATAATCGAAAGAAATACCTTGTTTTATTCTAGGGAATCTAACGAATATTTTGGAAAAAAACTTGAATTCGGATGACAATTGGGATGCAAGGAGCATTTCAAAGCCAAAAACACGTAAAACGTCGTTTTCGGCTTAGATACTGAGTAAAATGGGTTGGGTACGGAATTTTCAGGTATCTGACACTGAGAGAAAAACAGCAGAGTACTCAAACAAGTCATACTTCTAAAAAAATCGTTTATTAAAAATGATCAAAAAAGGATATTTTTTTTCCAAACATGCAAAGCGTGCACCTAGATTAGAAATTTTTATTGCAATAACGGATTGTCTTTTCAAAAAAAAATTTCTTCTCTGTACAAGCAAGAAATGTAATTTCTAGCACTACTTCTTGGTTATTCGATGCTCCCATACGTATTTTGCTCCCAGCAAATGCTCGTTTCGTATGAAACAAGGGATAATAATGTGTCGTTTCGGCTATTCAATAATCACAGACAAAAAATGAGTCCTTAAAAGAAATAATAATAATGATATGACAGCAATCTTGTAACTTAGGGACAAAATATTCATTTTTTACTTATTTTTAACGGAATTTATCACAAGAAGCTTGTGACTGACTATCGCCCGAGGGGTTTCAGCCTGTGGGGCAAAATATTTCTTGATAAATTTTCCTCTATAAAATATATTTTTATCCTGAAACAGCACCGTTTTGTATGAATGATCCGTCTCTTGAGTCAAATATTTTGTTATTGTTGAAAGCAGAGCAATTATTCGTTTTTGAGACTTTTAAATTCAAACCAAACAATTATTTTTTTGGTAATTTTCAATTAACGATTTTGTTGGCCCAAACAAGACTTATTTGAGCACTTGTTCGTTTTTCTCTCAGTGTATGATATATCAGAAGTCGCTCAATAGTTGTTTTCATCAACTAAAGACTTTCAAATTTCACCAGTCCCCTTCCCCTTATATAATAGATGAATAAGTTGCGTAAAGGAAGAGTGCATACAACAATTGAAATAATGATTTTTCTATTTTAAATTCGTTAGTATTCTCATTTTTATAACCGTAATTTGACTGGAAGGACTTTAGTCAAGAAATTTTTTTTGGTTTCGCAAAATTTTGGTTTCTACAATTTCTCAAGACCCAAGAAGTCTCATACCGACTATACGTTCCTCAAATTTGAAGTTACCCATCGGAACTGGTTTTTGAAGTAAAAATGGCTCATCTCATTTCATCATATTTCTGTAAATTATAATCAGATATAACAAGAAATGATAATTTACCCTAATCAAAATTCGTACGTGCTCATCGCGTTGATTATCACAGATTAATAAAATACTATTTCCGTCAAAGAGCTAAATATCACTAAAAGAATCCAAAAGGGAACTGATGTATCTATCCAAGCTGAGATTCACTACACCTCTGCTCACATTGAGCTGATCCTTGGAGTGGACATCTGAAACATTCAGATAAAAACAAATCAGAAAAATAATATTTTTGGAAACTAAAATGTTTTAATTCTGCATTGAAGTTCAAAACGTACTAAATTACGTAATTTTTTCCTATTACGGTCCGGCTCCATTACCTTCCGAACGTTATCTTGCTTTTTTGTTCGATTTTTATCTGGAAATTTCAACTCGACGCCCGGTTACTCAGAGATTCCCGAAAATTAAGAATTTGAATTGAAAACAAGCAGGTGTTCGAGCCTATCCGACAGAAGCCATGTGGCCGTTACTCTTTCTTTTTTTATTTCTGCCATTGATAGTAATGGTAAATTCCATTGATAGTAAGCTTCTGAACGGATCCGTAGCAGACATGACCCTAAAAACATCATTTCTTCACGTTTCATAACATTCTGGACCATTTGCAATAAAAATTAGAAAATCTAAAAATCCGTCAAAAACAAGGCTTCCATTTGGACGCAAAAATAAAATTTTTCTGTCTTTCGGGTTTGGGATAAACATCCTGAACACAGATGTAGTACTGTTTTATAACTTCAGCTAAGAATTCCTGCAAATTAGGAAGATAAATATGTACCAAAACCAATGGTTGATTGAATCTCTTTTTTACTCACTTTAACAACGAGGGGGCTCCACGTGGGCGCAGGCTGCACGTGCCAATGTGGGTGATCATCAATGAGTACTTGAGGTCTGTCCTGGACGTTGGGCAGGCCGTTTCCAAAAAAAGGATACTGGTATATGTAGGGAGAGGTTGGAGGCATAAAAGGAACGAATGGATTGTAACGAGGTAGCATTGGTGGGTAGCACTGGCAGTCGTATATCAGATTGTTGACCATCACTGGAGGTGCGTTAGGATTCATCAGAAGTGGAGGATACACTGGATGGAGTGGAAGCGCTTGAGCTCTTGAAAACGGTAGACGCTCCGAGTACTTTGGTTTTTTGGGTAGATGCGTCGTATAGCCTTCGGTGTTCGAATTCCGATTGTAATAGAAATTTTCCTGTCCGTCTTGAGGAATATTCGGTGAATCATCGAGTGATTCTGTGTCTTGCATTCGGGTAATATTGCCTAGATCATTCGGATTTGGAAACTCCGGTTGGTTCGGAGCCTGTAGTCGGTCACACGTGGGGATCTCGGAAGGCTCAAACAAGTCGCGGAATTCCGACCTTTTTCTCTTTGATGAAAGATCCATTGGTGTATTCACTGCGTCGTTGAAGGATGCTGGAGATAGAAATGTGAAGGGGATTGCTTTGCCAGCTTCACCAGTCGATGGCTTCGTGAGTTGTATCATCAGCTGGACTGGCTCGCCGGTGTCTTTGGTAGGGTAGGCGGGAGTTTTTACGGTAATTGACATCTGAAAGAAAGATGAATATGTATTAACTATTAGAACTAGGGGCTAGAACTTTCGGTTTATAAGTCTTATCAGACTTATCACGATTTTTGAATATTTTTGGCAAAATATTGATCGAGTTAGTAGTTAGTGTTCGTACGATTTTACCGTTTTTTTAATGTTTGTTACGCGCCAAAGAATAAAGTTAAGCATCCCTTTTATTTTATTCGCAATAGATCATGAATTAAGGAATTTTGAATGGCATAAATTTTATTCTACTCTAGAGACGCGAAAAATTTATGAAATTCAAAATTCACGTATTCATGATCTATTGCGAATAAAGTAAAAGGGATCCTTAACTTGATTCTTTTGCGGGGAATGAACGTTAAAAAAAAGGTAAAATCATGTGAAAACTACGATGAATCGCATGAAAACTACAATGAAAACTTTTAAATTTCACTGACGTATCCCCTTAAAGTGTTTACTCGTGCATATAACAGCATATGACTTTACACTCTCTGGTTTTTCTTGCGACATTAAAAAACATAAGTTTCCGAACAGATAATTGCAAACAATCACATTAAAATCTTCTTGATTGGCACGACGGCCATATTGGGTGGTTTGAATCCGCGCGTTGCTAATGTTTGGCAACGCGTTCGTTCAAGAGTTGAGGAGAGAGCTAAAACTGTAAAATAGACAATCGGTTGTATAGAAGAAAAGGGATGATAAGAATAATGATGTTGATAACATTCAATTAAGTTGAAAATCTGACAAAATTAGGTAAAAGGAAATTCTATTCATTTAAGAAAAAAATAAACAATTAATTTTACGTGATAAATGGAAATTATGTGCAAAATAACCATTTGGAAGCATATTGCTAATTTATTAGCAAAAATAGCTATACTATATCTAATACAAGAACAACTTCCCACTTGTTTTTTTTGAATTTCTATAAATTTCTCAAAAGTCTGAAAACGGAACATCCGACATCCTTAAGGTATTTGCTCAGTGACTTATAGATGATGAAAATGTTGCAATATGATATGAATTCAAAATTTGGATCATAAATTGTTGAGCACATTCAAAAACGATACATAAAATTTCAATCCTTTCGTCCAGACCATTTTCAAGATATGCACCGTCGAAAATTGAAAAAACATAAATTGAATGTTTGACGATGCATATCTCAAAAGTGGTGTAGACAAAATATTTTCAATTTTGGGAACAATTTTTGAATATGCTTGACAATATATAATGAATTGAGAGATGGAATTGTTGTGTAAAAATTTTGGATATTTGAGAATACACGATTCTCATATTTTTTATAATGAATTCAAATGAACGATTTCAATTCAATTCAATCATTTATTGCCGTTTCGTACAACCTTACGTACCATACGTACAACCTTGTTACAGCATACATAATTTCAAAGGAACGATTTGAACAAATGAGAAATAAAATAAATAACTTGCGATTTCATTGATTCTGAATAATTAATTAAATGTCAAAGATGAAATTTTCTATTTTACCTGATTATCATAATTATTCCTTGGAAGCGAATCCTCACTGGCTTCCCAAATGACTTTATCTTCCTGCGTCTCGAAAAAACGAACCTTAACGTCTTCTTTGATTATTTTCTGGCCGAATATCACTAATGACGTTCCTCCAGCGACTGACGCAACTTCAGTACTCAATTTAGATATACTTAGATTAACAGCTGTTTGTTTATCATAAATTGGGTCAGATACGACTGGAGTGAGTTTTTTCGTGTATTTTTCAGTGGTATGATCAAAGAGAAATACTTGAAAACACAGTCGCACTACGTTTAGGTCAATTGATGTTGGGTGGTCGCCATGATCATAGCCCTGTTGGAATGGATCCACCCGGACTTTTTTTCTTTCCTCCAGGGATTTTTTAATATCCTTTTTTCTGACGCATTGAATCCCAAGATTTTTTAATTCAATTTCGTTTTCGTCGGGTCCCACTGTGGTTACAAAAACTCCGTTATTCGTTCCCTTTCCTTTACTGACGATGCGGTGAGGGTGAACTTTGTAGGGTGCCTCTTTGCTCACACAAGAAATGATGAGGTGAGCGTCTGTATTGAGTCCAACAATCTGAAAAATTGATATTCAATTTATGCTTTAGTAAAATGAATTTCAATTAATTTTGTAAATTTCGAAACTTCCGGTTATATTGGAAGAGGCTCAATTCCTAAATAGCAAAATAATTTTAAACGCTTTCAAATTCGCAAAATATATTTGGTATTTCATATCAAACAGGGATAGCCATCGATCTTCCGATTCTTCAACGTTAAAAGAATTTCCAACTTACATTGATCAAGGTTTAAATATACTAATCGAATGTTGAAAATAGTGAAATAATTGATAATCTAAATTTCCAGTTCATGATGAACTAAATATTTAAAAATATGGAAACATAAATTTTCTATTAAGTACATAAGACTAAATTTCTTACAAGGGATTTCCGATTATCCAAATAATCGCCAATCTTCGGAACTCAATTACTGATTAATAAATAATTCAAAATTGGACCATTTAAATTGATGAATATTTTAATAATTAAAATGTAAAGGTGATATTAACTAATTGCCAACTTGATAATTTAACAGTAATTATAATTAATCGATATGGCTGTTTCCGATGTCAAACCAGTCAATCCTTCACAGTCACTCATTTAAACCATATCATTTTCTTACGGGCTTGAGAGGTTTGATTACATTTGATTTTTTTTCAGAAGAAAAAAACTTTTAAAAAATGCTGAACAACTTGAGTTTTTATAATTGTACGCCATGTTTTATTTGCTTCATTTTTTTCGTCAATTCTCACAATCAGAAAAAAGGAAACTCAATATTACATCAAAGACGTTGTTCAACTTCTAATATGGCTAAAAAACGTTGTCCGACTGTGAGAAATGATTTTCAAAAGATGAAAAAAATAAAACGTGAAATAATTGATAAAATTCAAGTTTTCCAATTGTTTCTTTATGAAATTTATAAATGTAGGCGTCTAGAGATTGAAAGATGATGTTCAGTATATAATTTTTTACCTGGGGCCGAGAACTGACGATTTTGGTGTTTGATAAATTCAAATCGGACGATTAGAAACCGAACCCGAGAACCCGAGTTATATGAAAAAAACAGAAAAGCCCGTAAAAAATCATATTCCTTACATGAAAATTCTGAAAAAATTAAGAAATTGTTTTCTAAGCCTCTCAAGGGTATAAAAATCCCTGTTCATTTTTCAGAGGGTGTGGGTCAATCTTCGATGGGTTTGATATGGAATTCCTCATATTTTTGAAATGAGAAAGGAAATTTTCATTACTTGAATTATCCCTCTCTGATTCTTTTTTCATTTCCGTTTCATAATAATAATTGGAATCCGACTGTAGAAATGAGGAGTACCGATATCCTTTTGTCATATGAAGGGAGGAATAGATTTAAAAAAGATTTCAGGAATATAATGGAGAGATACTTCTATTATCCAAATGAGATTTCGAATAACTTTTATTTTGTGTTTGTTTTGATCACGAAAAAATCCTTGTCCTTGATCTTTAACATAATTCCTCTTCATTTAATGTTGTCACTTGTGAATTAAGGAAAAACTATATATAATAAGGATAAGCTATATATATTAAGAATAAGCTAATTCAGTAGCGAAGCGGTAAAACGGTTTAAGTCGACTTAGCTCTCATCTGAGTTTTTAAGGAATATCTCCGAATCTAAGAAAGATAACGAAATTTTTGTAATAATCTTTTTTGTAGTGCGAATTGAGTGCTATAGAAAAAGTCCTGTCAAAAATTTTGCTATCTCTCTTAGAATCTGGGATATTCATCGAAAATTAACCGCTTCGGTACTGAATTGTGAAGACGGAAATGGAACAATAAGATGAAAAAGAATAATATAAATTAATCTCGTTTGCTAGTTTATAGAAATTATATAAAATTAATTACCTTTATCTTCGGATATGTCTTTTTCCATACAGTACTGTGTACACCCGGTAAACTTCCATGTGACCTTCGTTCGCACTCATAACGAAATCGAAACTCTTTACTTGCCGGCTGCTCCAGTACCTCAATGTACGGTGCATTTTCCTTATCCATTTTACAAACTGATAATTTCCACTGAACTTCATAAACACAATTTCGCTGCAACTGTAACACCTCTTACCGCTACCAATCCACAACTGACTGACGTGAAATTATTTTCACCTTTATTTATACTACTGTCTTTGAATCCTTGGTAAATTCTGATTGGGGAAATCGGGCCGGTCGGCCCTACCTACACGTCAGAGAGTGGGGACAGAGGGCTCCAGGGGATTAAAAAGGATTTCTTATTATTTGCCGGAGCGGGTAAGGGTCAGCTCCCCAACCGACCAACGAGTCATCATCGGATGTAATGAAACTGAGCTGTTTACCTGCTTGACCACCCCTAAATACCGGACACCGGCAATCTCTTTCAATTTATTCCTCTGCCCACCCCCTCGCTTCGTCGCACTGAGATACCTGAAGTGTTATAGCACCTTTCCCTTGGAATTTTGGGCTGAAAGCATTATCAATTGGTTCTTTAACAATGAAGAACAATAATCTTCATCAATAAAAGGACCCTCAGGTAAGGGTAGAGTGGATCAGCAGACACGTGGTATTGGAAACGTTGCGAGTTTATTTCTAAGAAAAATCTATAAATCGTGAAGATGACATACTACAAGTACACATAATTGCTCCTCATGGAACCACACAACACTTATTTTGGTGAGCAACAACAGGGAACAACAGTTCTTATATACAATTAAAAATTATAAACTAAATCTAATTATATAGTTCATACAGTAGTACATTAAATGATATGTACAAAATTTATGTACAAAAATATTTTTTAGTTAATAATTAACTATGTATTAATTTTAAGAAACGTATAAAGGTATTTTAATATCATTGTTCCTTGAGTACGAGTGAATTCTTGTAATAATAAATGTCAGGTGATGTCATTCGAGAAATTCTGTTAAAAATATTAATATCACAATGAAAAATTCTCCAACAGTATCATTTCCCTAGTTTTACATATCACGATGTCATGAATTTCTATTTAATACGAAAATTGTACGTTGTTTGCTTGATATGAGTTGAGTAGGAATAGAAAATTTAAAACTTCGTTAACTAATAGTAAAATTCGAGATTACTTGAGAGAATCAAAATTAATATTCATCATTTTAATCTGGCTTAGTCCATGATGTTGTTAGTGGTTGGACACATGTTGTTCAATGGAAACAGCTCTTGGATTGCGTTATTCGCCAGTTGTGTGAAGCTATCTGGTTGAGCCTGTAAATTTCATGGAAAACAAAGTCGGAAATTATTTCAACGAGTTATGGCATTAAATAGTATATTTCGATACGAATGCGTAATAGTATATTGTACTACACTGCCGTCCTTACGACACATACGACTTTTTGTCATGAAGGCCCGACAAGGCCGGAGTGGGGGCGCAGCCCCCGGCAGGGGGTCTGGGGACGACCCCCCCTCCCCCCGGCCCTATAATAAAACCAAATGACAAACGAAAAAAAAACTGAAGAAAATAGGGATTGACTTGCTGCAAAAACAAAAAATAATAATAGACACATTTAACTACGAATACTCAGAAAATGGGAGCATTTTTGAAATTTTCTTCTCACGAAAAAAATATTTAAAAATCGGTCAAATACAAGGCTTCCACTCGAAAGCAAAAATTGTGAAGCCCCCGAATTTTTCAACGGAATCGACGGAAAATTAACAGAAAAATTCTAAGTTTCTAATGAATGATTTTATTGCCCCATGTTTGTGCCAGTTTGTCTAGACATAATAATAATAAATTTGTCTGCAGCTGAAAATTTTCAACAAATACTTTAACGATGTCTCGCAAACTCAATGTATTCCGATTGATTGAAGAGAGAACTTACTCTGAGAATAGGTCATTTCTGCATTCCTGAATTATCTTTTGTTATGTCAATTTTAATTTCAGTCTTACTTCAATCTTCGTCATTACTAATGTAGTTTATGACATAATTCATTGTGATACTGGACTCTAGTAAATATAGAATACGTTAATACTTTGTTTAATAAATTATATTGATAACTCATGACGATATTCATCTGATTGGCTTATTAGGACGAGTGTCGGGGAAGTAGAGAGTAGTGGAGGGGGTGAAGAGAGCAAGAGGGGAATTATTAGTTAGGTCGGGCGATCCAAAAAGTATGTGAACTGCGAGGTCCTACTGTAATTATCATGAGACATTTAGGCAATATTTCTCCATAATTTTTGCCGTTTAGCTATCCATATGTTATGAGGAATGTGTGAATAAGGGAATTAAAAAGCATTGAGCTTTATGCAAGTTCCCTATTATTTTTCTACATATTTCTTGAAGAATTTTCAAAAAAAAAAAGAAAGTTCGATACCTCGAAGTCTCGAATTGAGAACACGGGAAATAGAATGGACACAGGGAATAGAGAATGAATGTATCTTTAACGTAGGGTAATTCTCATTCTAATGACCCGTGATGTCTAAAGCTCATGTATTCTCCCAGTGTTTTCTCATCACATTAATTTAATTAATGATGAGCTCTCCGTGTTTTTCAATCTTTTGCAATTTGATTACTTATCAACTTATCTATTCAAAGAATAAAATTAGTTACCCTCTGTGTCTCTGAGAGCGATAGTGAGTGGTACAAGGTCTCGGATAGTGTTGCTCCTCCTGGCAATACCGTGAGATCAGCAGAGTTTAAACTCCCTAGCTGATTAATATCGAAACTGTCGAGATCCAGCATACTGACATTATCCTGATCCTGCATGTTGTTAATTGGTGACTGATGGGAAACATTCTGTTGCTCTGGCGTTAGTCTGTTCATGACTATTGGCTGGTTGTTGTACATAAGTTGAGGCGCAAGATTGGGGCTCACGTGGCCCGGTGATGGTGCGTACTGGGGCGTCAGAGTTTGGGGCTGAATGGGAACGATGTAGGGCAAGTCCATGGGAGAAGGAGTTCTGCCTGGAGAATGATCTGCCCTGTAAGGTGAAACGAAATTGAATGAAATTTCGTCAATTGTTTGAAAGCGCAAAGTGAATTGATGATCAATTAGAGTCTCATAGGAATGTCTTTGGAGGTAGCAGATTCAGAGAAAATGTCAAATACTTTTCTGGTAGTTCATAAACGTTTTGAATCAGAATTGCTTTTGATGAATTTATCAATATTTTTTAAATTATTTCCTCATATCTTGATAATTATATTGCAAATTAATTATATTGTAAATTGTTTTGAAAGCAATTTTTTTGTAGTTCATACAGTTTTCTACAAAAACGATTACTTGATAGATTTCTTTATTTGTTATGATTCTGAAGACACGCACAAAATAATTTTAACATAGTTTTTTGTGCATATCTCTTGTGATTTTTTGTCACCTTACTCAATTTCTCAATTATTTTTCAATTCTTGTAGTAATGGGATGAAAATGGCTCCTATCACGTGAGATAATTTAACAGTAAAATTTAATGCTTTCTCTTCCAGCGAACAGTATGTCGACAGTTTGTCGACAAATTGCCAGTGTCCTGTTAAATTTTAGATGGCACTGGCAAAAATTGTTTTCTGGGCTGATGAATTTTAGTAAATTTCTATTGGGATTACATAAGAATTACATTGGAGTATTGTTAAAATTTTATTTAAAAGATTCCATCAGTTTTTGTACCAATTCTATTGAAAATCATGCATCTTTGAAATATGTTTTTAATCTAAATTTTTTCAATAGAAAAAGTTAACAGATGTTAATTTTTATGTAAAACCTATTCTGTTGGAATTTTTCGTATAAGTATTTTTGGGCATGAAGTTTTCGAGTTTTTCGTTTCTAGGATTTTGTTATGAGAAACAAATAAGAATTCCTGCCGAAAAAACTTGGGAGATTTATGCCCAAAAATTCTATAATAAAATCCCTATGCAGAAATTTTTTTTGGATCGTGAATATTTTCTCAACATTCAAAAGTATCTATCCTATTATCTCATTCTCCCGTACCCCATTCTCAAATTAGTTTAATTCAGTCAGTTCACCTGAAGTTATGAAGATTTTGAGGGGACATTGGAGATACTGCTCCAGTCGGAGCTGTTGCATACAGTGGAGATCCTGCTCCACCTGGGACTTGAAGATTCTGAGGGGACATTGAAGATCTTGGACCAGTTGGGGCTGCCGCGTACATCGGGGAACTCCCACTGGGCTGGAGTGCACCTGTATAGTCCATCAAATTTTCCACTGGCTCCGGTTTCACTAGATTGAAGTTGTACTGCATCGATTGGGGCATCATCCCAGCTTCTAAATCAATACCGTGAACATATTCCTAATAAAAGTCCATTCTCGATCTCTTTTATGAATGAGTAGTAAAATGATTAAACAACATCAGTCGTCACTAAACAATCAACGTGTCTCCAAGGTGAATTTTCGGTTAAGGGGAGACTACTATGAGTTTTAAAAGTCGCGGGAGATCTCTCATGCCTTACAACTCGATTATATATGTCTAGAAATAAATAATAAATAATTAGACGAACAATAAAATAGGGGTTTTCTCATACTAATTATCAGCTTCTGTATACATTTAACATAAGAGAAACCAATAGGGATCTTTACGTCAATTACTTGTGATGTTCAAAGCTCATAGTAGTTTCCCCTTAAAGTACTTCCGCAGGGAGTTATACTTGGAGAAAATTTCGCAATGAACTGAAGACCTAAAATTTGGATCATATGTTGTTGAGGACATGTAAAAACGACTCCCAAAATTTCAAGTATTTTTTCCACGCGAATTTTTGAGATATCCATCGTCAAACATGCAATTTTTGTCTTTTTTAAGTTCTGGTCGATGCATATCTCAAAAATTCGCGTGGAAAAAATACTTGAAATTTTGGGAATCGTTTTCACATGTGCTCAACAACATATGATCTAAATTTTAGGTCTTCAGTTCATTGCGGAATTTTCACCAGGCATAACTCACTCAGGAAGTACCTTAATATCTTTAAATGCAGAGGAAATATGAAATTTTTTGCCGATTCGACTTTGTCTGCCACCATGAAAAAGAATTTTCTCATAAAAATTTTGTCATTTCCTTTGCACAGATATTTTTTAGAAAATGATTTTTGAGTGAGACTGACGTGTCTCATTCCACTATCTCATTACTGAAATATCCACTGAACACTCAAAAAATCAGGGCATAAAAAGCCCAGGGCATACTGATTATATTCAAGCATTAGTAAAGCTCAGCTCATGTTGTGTTTATGTGTATAAATAAATAATTTGCACTTCACTAATCACTAAGCAGTGAATGATGGACAGAATGAGGTGCCCCATGCAGTTCTTGAAAAATCTCGATAAAAAATCTACCAAAATGATTTTTCAGGAATAAAATCACCACACGTCACACATAAAAAACCGATGTATCGTACCTTCTGTATACAAACTCCAAGATTTATAATCGCGTTCTGAAAAATGACTTGGGCAAATACTAGTGAACACGCTCATTACGTTAATAAGATATACATATATTTTAATGTATAATAGATTGTTCATTACAATATTTTAATTATAAATACTTTTTCTCCTTTTAAAAAAAGCTTTTTTTTGTCTCGAGTTAAAATAGCGCCGTCACAAATATTGCATGTATTTTTTATAATTCTCAGTTACATAAGAATCATACTGACGATTATTTCGCTACAACGTTCTCCTTCTAATGTTCAGCATGAAAATATTTTATATCATTTTTATTTCACTTCATTTTGAGCTCCGCAATGGCATTGAAAAACATGAAATATTTCATTTGAGAAATTATTTCAATGCCTGCAGAATTCCTCTCCAGTAAAATACAAAGCTCATTAAATATTCCCGTCTTATAAAATGCATCATTAAAAAAGTATAAAATACAATAGTTTCATCGACATTGCGCGATAAAAGATGTTACATACGTTAAGTACGTCAGAACATCATTTCCATAAAAAACGACTCGTCAACAATGAGAATTCTCTCGAAAAGCCACTTGGGTACATCAATTGAGTATTTACATTAGCATTCGAGGCTTGGACCTTGAATAATCGAATGAGACAGAGATGAAGCAATTAATTTTGTTAGTAATAATTGATAGGCCATTGATAACCGCATATATTCAATGACAATGCGATGAAATTTTTATATAAAATAGTTCACCATAGCCCAGTAGTCCCGAAGCAACAATAAATATTGACATAAAAATATCCACATATTCTTTCCCTATTTTATGAAAAAAATACTCACGGTTCTCAGCCTCAGCTTGTAAATTACGTAGAACAAGCGTGGTGGGACTGGTATTAAACTTTTTCCTCTTTCTTTTTAACGAATCTGGATCATCTACGAATTTTTGTTTCATTCCAGTACATTAAAATAATTCAATAATATAATTCATTACCATGAAAAATAGATTATTTGTTTTTTCCATTTTTGAGTTTAAAGGAAAATCCAACAAGGCCTCGTGTTTTTGTACGTCAACACCAGCATATCAAATCTTATAATTCTTAATAATATCTTAAATATACTCTGTCAAAAAAAATTTATAACACAATGAGGATTTGGAGAGAAATGAGAAAATCAACTGTTGCATAAAAATTTTCAGAAAAATATTTATGCATTAAATGTCACGTATTCTTTAGTATTTTCGAAATAATCCAATTCCATTAATTGCCCTGATTTCCTCATACCTCTCGCTCTACATTCAACGAATAAAAACTTAACAATCTTCGGTAATTTGACTAGAAAAGATGAAAAACTATTGCCTACGAAAAAAATGCAAGTTTTCAATAATTCAACGAGTATGTTTCATTCCCCCCCAAAATTCAGGAGCCACATTTCACAATAAAAAAATCATTTGAGCACTGTCGAAGCTCCCAAAAAGACATTAAAAATTTCTGAGCGTAAAAATTGGAAACATTATGTTTCCTTGGCTTCGGTGAGGATTTTTCCACCCTCCACAGGACTGTAGTAAAACGACATTTCATCGAACTCGGAAGCAGTCGCATGTGGTGCCATAGCAGTGTAAAGAGCATAATGCTCAGCCTCAGTGAGTTCAATTCCATACGGTGGAGACTCATCTCCATCAATATCGAGCGATTTAACACCAGTGATGCTAGTCATACTTGGTCTAGTCAATTGATTCTGATTCTGAAACTCCTCCAAGCTGTCTTTGAATGCCCCAATGCTGTGTCTAAACGACTGATTATCCTTTTCCTTTTTATTTCTCTTTGTAAATAACTTAGAGAAGAGTCCCTGCTTGGGTCGGAGAGTGCCAGGGAGTAAAGGCAATTTTTTATGGGGTGCCTCTGAGCCAGTCACACTCACAGCTCCACAGGAAGCTGTTCTGGGCAGAACTGGCATCGATGGCATTTTCCTGATTCTCTTCGGGGGCAATGGAGGCAATTTCTCTTCATAAGCCCTCGTAACATCTCTTTTCGCAGCCAAAGGAGGGGGACGAGGGGGTGGAACATTCGCCTCTACACTGGGCACTGCCACATCCTCATACTTTCTGTCATTCTTTATATCATAAATGTCCACTGGATTTTTCATGGCCATTTGGAGACTAGTGTACGTCTGATTGTCGCAGACGTCCACCTCCATCTGTTGATCCCTCGAGTCTCGGTTCAATGTCGCTTGCAACATTTTTGCGTGAGTGTCTGCGTAGATTTGATCAAGCTCTGCCACTTGGGTCAATAATTCATTGAGTTTCGGATCGCTTTCATCATTCTTTGAGTTAGAATCGTCCGGTTTTGGAACATTTTCAAACTGTTGATTCTTCTGTACCCATTTTCCAACTTCCGAGTAATTAAGCCAATTTTTGTCTTTTGGGGGCTCAGAAATGTCATTTGTGCTCATTTTCTCTGGCTCGTAATGAATTTTTTTAGGGCTAATGTCATCTTTTATACTTGCTGGTTTATTTAAGGAATTTTGAAATTTTGATTCTGAGATTATTGTTATTTCGTTATTTTCATCATCAACGAGGGGACGTTTGGGGGCAATTTCCTGAGACTGGCTCAATCTCAAGGATCCACCATTTTGCACCCCTAAATTATTTTTAACATGATAAAGATCGTTTAAGGCACGTAGGGCGGACAATTTTCCACTCGAGCATGTCAGATCGAGTTCGTTGTTGTTGAACTCGTCGATACTACGGGATATTTTTTGGGAAGGATATAGCGACGCCTCGGTGGCAAGGATTTTGCTGAATGTCGTAGGGTCTGCTTTTTTTCGCGTTAACGCTCTACGGAGTGACCAGAAGTTTGGCCTACCTGCACCTAAGGGGAGCATCTGGAAGGGGAGAGGTTCACTCGCTGTTCCATCTGAGGGCCTTCTCAGTTGAATGTACACTTGGACGGGTTGGTCTACCTGCTGAATGCGGTATGTTGGAGTTCTGAATGCTATTGCAAACTGAAAAGAAAAAGAGGAATGGAAAAGTATTAAATACTGGCGACAAACATAAAATTGTAGTTTTGTGTAATTTTTCTTCTCTTGTTGGATATGAAAGTTGAATGACAAATGCTCGACACATATTTACGGCTGTTATGACAAAAACATTGTTCGTCACACGGTCTAAAAAACTTTTCTAGCTCATATAATTGCAACCCTCGCCTTCGGCTCGGGCTGCAAACCACACATGGAGAAGTTTAATAGAAAAACCTAGCGAATTCCCTAGATAATTCTATCGGATTTCTGCTGAACTTTCTATTAGTTTTCGGCCCATTCTATTGAAATGGTCAATAGAAAATATTCTATAGAAAAAGGCAAAAGAATTCGATTTTTCGATACAACTCAGTCTATTGAGATATTTTCTATAGATTTTTTTTGTTCAAATGTTAAGTTTTTTGTTTGATTTTCTTGATGAGAAGAAAAGAAAACTAGAATGAAAAAAACTTCTGAAGGTTTCATCTAAGCCTTTTTTTAACAGCCAAGAATATGTTTCTCCTGACATAATGATTTTTCTTTTAAGGCAGATGTGATATTTTCAACTCATCAAATTTGGTTCTATGCACTAGAAAATCTGCGAATATTTGTGAAGTAAAAAGCACCTGTTTATGAACGTTTGCAGGTTGAAAGTCAGCCAGTCCCTCCCAAACGACTTTGTCATCTTTTTCCTCAAAAAATCGTACTTGAATATCTTCTTTCGCTATCTTTTCACACAGGAGTATCACCTCAGTTCCTCCAGCCACTGAAGCACTGCAGTGACTCAACTTCGATATAATCAAGTCTGATTTCGCCTCTGAAATGCCAAAGAAACAATGAAAGCATTCATAAAAAAATTTATAAATATTTCACCCTCTAGAATCATAGAATCATTCGACACTTACTCTTATCGTAAATTGGATCCGATACAATAGGTTTTAGAGGTGTTTTGAATTTTCCCGGAGTAGGTCCCTCGAGGAACACTTGGAAGCACAGTCTGACTGCATTGAGATCGATACTAGTTGGTTGTCGTTTGTGCTCGTAGCCAGTACGAAAAGGATCCACTTGAATTTTTTCTCTCACATTGAGTGCCTCTTCAATATCTCTTTTTTTAACACACTGAATTCCTAAATTGGCGAAGCTCACTGTCATGGTTTCTACCGGCACTTCAATTGTGCAAACACCCTTCTTGCAGCCCTCCTTACCGACAAGGTTATGAGGATGAGGTCTGTATGGTGGGTCCATCGTTACACACGACACTACCACCACAGCGCGTCCTTTGTATCCAACGATCTGTAAATTTTATTTCGATTAGGAATTACGTATCAACAAGAATTTTTCCAATTTTCTGAACGACTCTCTCAAAGTTTTGCGCTTCAGCACAGGTTAATGTTTTCCGCGTTTTCAATAAGTATTCGAAACTCGGATTCGTTCTATCCAAAAAATTTTTTTTTAAATATCGTTATTTAAAATTTTTCCCAATTTTTCATTTTTTTACTTTTTAATTTTTTTATTTCAAAATTCATTATTTATTGACCATTTATTTACTTGCCACAAGTAAATGTATGTAAATATTTGCATTTGAAATGTGTGGATTTTCCTGCAATTAGTAAATTTACTTGGCAAAAGTAATTTTTTTTCTCAGTGTACAATAGAAAGTGAAGGATTCTCCATAGAAATCTATCGAAACTTGTATTAAAAGACCTTGAAAAATTCGTCAAAATCCATGAAAACTTCAATTGAGAATCAATGTATACTTCGTTGGAAATCACCAACACTATTATCACCAAAATCAGTATCATCATCATCATGTCTCCTATTTCTCTTTCAGACATTTGGGAATAAACGTGACATCTCCTTTTTACATAACAAAATGTGAATACTCAGTACCAACCCACGCTGAATTTTCAAATAATTGAAAATTTAAGAATATATTTTCCAGGATTTTCCTGATTTCGATTAATTTTCACGAAATAACAGAACTGAAATTGACTGTTTTCATCAATTTTTTGAATGAAGGATGAATTTTCAATGACGAAATTCCTTAAAATATCATTGAAATTGTTACTCGATGAAAGTTTCCAAGGAGCGTACTGGAAATTTCAGTAAAAATTCTCGCAGTGCACAGAGACCTGTCACTAACATTTTCTTTCCTTCGCTGCAGGAATAATTTTTATAAATTAATTTTCATACATATTCTGGACTTACTCGTATCGTGGGAAATGTCTTATTCTCGGGCATGCTATTGACCCCTGGTATGCTGCCAGCAGATCGACCTTCACACTCATATCTGAATCGGAGTGCTTTGCCAGCCGGTTGCTCAACAATTTCGGCATATGGTGTGTTTCCTGAGTTGGAAACAGGCACAGACCTTACAGCATCCACTCTACCGCCTGAGAGCATGTTTAGGGATTGTTGCTGCTGACTTGCAGCACCCTCGACGAATCCCGGGTCATTGGTCTCAATTACTTCGACTAAAAACAACGGAAAAATATGTTCAATTCAGGGGTGAAATGGTAGAAGCAGTAGTCTGAATGTATTTCAAAGAGTATTTTTTTTATATTTCTTTCCTGCTACTATTGCGATTTTATAGGCTCCCCTTCGTCTGCCTTGCCTATCCCACTTCTCTCTTCTAATTTTTTATCTGCGTTACCATAGGTAACATTACCATGGACTGCACAGGAAACCATGGAAAACCCCAGCCGTGCAGCCGGCCGATTGCGCAGAGCCCTAATGTGTCCTTCTGTCACACTGACTAGAGGGGCACATTACCCTCATGGAAAGAACATATATCCGGACATATATCTCAGTATGTTTCACTTATATTTCGGCCAAAAATGTCATATGCCAGATATATCCTAGATATTATATTCACGTATCTCGATGTAAAATATTTAACATATATCTGCAATATATCTCAGATATATTTTCGGCCAAAAATGTAGTATGCCAAATATATGCTAGATATAAGTGCTGCATATATCTCATTCCCGTAAGGGTAGGCCACTACACCCCGCCTACCTTCCGAAATTTTTGGGCGAGGGTGTTCCTAAACGGTCACCCATCTATTTTCAAGTATAAGAATCACAACAGTTAGTGAAAATGCAAAGCAACAATTCACATTTGAACATTTTTTTTGCATAATTTCCTATCCAAAATTAGCTCGTCCATCTATGGGGGAGTGTCTATCTACTGGGTAGGTTACCCTAATTTTTTTTCCTATTAATCGGCATTTAGTAAATAAAAAAATATGGCCTAGCCGTCAGAAATGAGCGGTTTCAGATGCATTCAACTATTTCTTAATTTCATGATTCTTTGCATTGTTATTCTGATTTCAAATCATTTTTTTTGCTAATTAAAACATTCGTGAAAGTATGAAAGCCATTTAGGTGATTCTTTTATTTTAGATCCTATCACGAAACTCGAAGTTCCCTGAACCGTCCAGCGATTGACCTGTTCACCCTACCTTCCGTATCCACTTTCTGAAAATGAAGTGGAGGTAATAAATATTTTCATCGTTTGAAGAATCTAATACAAATAATTTTGGGAATATTTCCCAAAGGAAGAGATTCAGTAAAATTCACCTAAAGACCCAATTCGTAGAAAATTAAAAGAAGTAGAATAAATGGTTTTTGTATTTCTTGCCAAATCTACTAGTTCCACAGACATTTGCCAACTACTTCCATATTGAATGTTCTAACCGTCTCAAGTTACTATTTTCTGTGTAAATCTATTTCTTCCATACTTACTAATATCACTGATGTTGAAGTCATTATTAGCATTGAAAGACTGATCCATGCTGTTCTTCAAACGATATTTTTTACTTCAGTGACCTGCAAGAAAATGCAGAAATGATAGCAACATTTTTTAAAATTATTTCAACATCATAACTGGCTGGGTCTCTCTTTCATAATGTGGTCGAGGAAGCAGGATTTTTGCCAAAATATAGGAGGTGAGGTAAAATAGACACATTTCAAAATATTAATAACTCCTAAATATATCTATCGATTGAGCTTTTGAAGTCTAGACTCATCACAAGGGTGAAGAATTGTAATTTTCAGTGAAAAAAAAACTGATTCCATTTCATCAACAATTCAACGAATCATTAGTATTTGAAAAAAATTAAAAACTGTCCATTTTACCCCATCGTCCCCTGGGTAGTGGAAGTTACTTGGAATGGAGGAAGTGAGTATTCACCCAGAGGAAGAGTCATGTACGGGTAACAAGCGCAAAAGCCTGATCCAATCATTATTTTGGGCGAAGTCTAGGCCTGCTCCGGACCGTATGTCTATAATTAAACTTCAAATTGAAGACAATGCGTGGTAGCGCAGCGGTATAAACTTGCCTTGTGCTCGAAACTCATGGCGCTCTGCTATTTCGCTCCAATTTATTCCCTCTCCACATCCACCACTGGACCACTAACCAAAGAAATCCCACCAGAATCAGTACTTTTTTCTTCTACCTCCACTTGTTAAATCATGACACTTTCCACTTGTCGTTGAATAACAAACGTAAATACCCGCGAATATATTTTGTTGTTTGTCATGAGGCATGCACCACTGAGAGGAAAATCGTCAGATCATCATCAGTATCTAAAATCGATTGAAGAGACTAGAATAACGCACCGATAAGTCAAGATAACAACGTTATTTCCCAACTTTTTCTCTGGTAATACAATTTTTTTAACTATCAGAGCTTACTACTTATGGTAATCGCGGGAACTCGATAAAAATCTTGTCGACAAGTTGTAATGTAGTCTTGCGAATGCCTCGCGAGAGCATGAAAATGAAACACCGAGTTTAGTTGTGTTGACTGTGATGCGCAAGCGCGTATCACCCACCTTGTCTTCTCACACGACACATGCCACCACTTTTACAAACACAACCAAATACAAAACTACCTATATACAACACTTCCAGCTGTGTCTCTATCAAAAATACGTAGATTTATTTTGGTTGAGTTGAATACACGAGTCCACTTGTTCAAATTTTTTTATTGCCACTTGGTGAATACAAACAATATGATAATTTTGAAGATACAACTAAACGTTGTAAACTTTTTAAATTCAATTTGATAACTTCTTTTCCTTTGTTTTTATTTGAAAAATTCGGGGATTCAGTGAGAGAGTGAAAAAAATGGAAAGCTACAGTCGTAACCACTGGCGAGTGTGGTTTCACACTGACTTTTGATACCATACGTTCATTGGTTAATGATCACGTGACCTTGGGTGATCCAAGGGCGATGGGATCTACGGTTTATTTCATTTGCAGGCCGTGGATGAGTATCAGTAACAGGTAAATAAATATTGTGATGAACGTTTCATGATTTTCCAGGAAATTATATAATTTTTGGGACGGTTTTGGGTTGAGCTGTGAATTTATCGCTGATCATGAATTTCTCGTGGAACGAGATCACGTGATCTTGAAAAATGAAGAGCGTATCTAAGAACGTAATGAATATAACTGTAATTTTGGGGATTATTTCTGCTCTTGTAAAGTATTGAAAATATGTCGTATTAATTTCCTGAATTGGTAAAATTCAATTATACCGTCCCGCGTAGCCGAGATCAATAACCGATAATTTAATATTTTTTATTACTGGATATAGTCAAAATAAATTTATTTTCCCTTTGAAAAATTGTATTTCAATTCAGCAGTGAAGCGGTTAACCGATTAAGTCGATTTTGACTATTGGCCAGTTTTTGACGAATATCTCGGAATCTAAAAGAGATAGAAAATTTTTTGTCATGACCTTTTTTGTAGAGTCAATTGAGGGTTATAAAAAAGGTTATGGGAAAAATTTTGCTATATGTCTTAGATTCTGAAATATTCCTCAAAAACTGGCCAAAGTCAAAATCGACTTAATCCGGTTTAGCGCTTGGCTACTGAATTTTAATTGAGAAATCAACATTTCGACAATGGAAACCATGGGAACCTGAGGCCTGAAATTAGGTTTCTGAGGGAAAAGAAGATTGAGTTGGAAAAAGAATTGATAATTTAGTTGAATGTAGCCGTAATTGTCACTTGTTTGGAGGATTTCCATGACATTGAACATCAAACTTCACTCAATTGCATGAAAAACTCGTCATCATTGTAACTGTCAATTGAAAAATGCCACAAGCGGCGATCGGTCCACGAGGGGACGCCTCTCGTCTTACTCAGCCCGTGCGGCAGAGAAAAGGGCCAGCAGCAGTCCCAATATCCGGCAGAAATCTTTCGAAATGTTTGAATCGAGTTCAACTGGCCTCGAAGTGTCACAGTCATCGTCCGGCTGTTAAACACAGTTTCAGGACGCCCAGAATATCGACTGCAACATGCCCATCCACTTTCCGTGCACCTATTGCGTCATCATGCAGAAAAAGTCTTTCCATGATCGATTTATCGCCTGCGAAAATTGATGCTAATTTGCAGATCAGGTGAAAAGAGAAAAAACATTATTAACTTAGGGGTGGGTGGGGCAATATGAACACTTGGGGTAAAATAGACACTCAAAAAATTTTCGAAATTTTTTTTTTTCAAAATTAAAATTTTGGAAAACGAAATTTATTGAGCGATATGAATACCTAATGAATCCGTATAAGATGGACTAAAATGGACGCTCAAAAACTTTTCAAAAAATTTCCAATAATTGAATTTTTGAAAAATGCTTGGCAAAATCCACAACCAAAAAATTATTCATGAGTAGGGTAAATGGATACCCGGAAAAGTTGGTCCTAATCAACTTTTAATCTAGGAAATTTTCAACAGACATTTTCTAACAGAATCGTGTCGCGCGGTATCTTTTTATAGAAAGAAATTAGAGTTGGAAGAGATGTTAACAAATAAACTGCAACTCTATTAAATTTTACATTAAAGTTTGAAATATAGAGTAGCTTTGGATTTCATGTTTTACTATTGAAATAACTTTAAAATTATTGATTTTTTTCACTGAACAATTGCACGCCCTACACAACTGACCTTTTGTCCATTTGCGAAATTTGTAAGATGGTTACTTTTCTAGTTACAAAGGAAATCACCGTAAAACAATGGGGCGAGAATATCAAGCTATAATTTGGTTTACCATCCCCATATATCACTTCATTGCATCATCTTTGTTGGTCAATGTTACTTATGATAAAGAAAGATAAATCTAAAAATAGCCATCATTTTGTGAATAACCCAGAAATGAGTAGATTTAGAATGATTTATCAAAGACTATCTTTGTATCGATCGGAATTCCTTACAAAATAGATTTCCTGATAAATCAATTTTACGAATTTGAGTATTCAGAAATCAAAGAAAAATTTAGCCATATTTGTCTCATCCTTTAAAACATTCGCCATCCCAAGATTCAATTCTCTCCTTTACAATGGCATCCCTCGAGATCAGTGCGCCAACACCACTAGATATAAATAACTCTAACACGTATCCACATAATGAACTCACCGAAATGCACGAGGGATTTCTCAGCGGGGGGTAGAGTCGTACTGGCTTTGTTTTAGCATCAAAGAGTGATTGGAAATTTACCACAGAACAGAAGACAATAGAATTAGGGTAGTAGTTTTCGGACACTTGCCAACTCTCATTTCATAAAATCTCAGCGTCTTTGTCTCCATTCCATGATCATTATATCAAGCGGAATAATAATTAATGGTTAATGCATTATCGCGGATGCATGAACCCATTAAGAGCCTGTTGAAATCTTTCTTTCGTCCGTCAAGGTCAGAGGGAGTCAGGGGAGAGGCAGAAATGGGACAAATGGGTGAAAGAAGCTCAGATGTCCAGAATTTAAACGGAAAGACTTATAATGAAGAAGAGGGAACGATTAAAAGTGCTGCTAGCCTTGTTTGTCATGCATTAGCACTCAATGCTTGGAGGAGAAGGAGAGAAGAGGTTGTGGAGCTGAGTGGAACTATTGAGAAGCTTGGTCAACAGGTCGAACATCTGCAGCTGCAGATCGCAGTGCTTAGGAGGCTGCTGGAGACCGAGAATAACCGAGTTGCCAAACTCAGCAGTGAAGTTCATTGTACTAGGACACAGCTGGAAGATGAGATCAAACAAAAAGGAGAAATCATTGCTGTAATTGTCATTCATCTTGTTGATTGTCATTCTATTTTTAGATGAGAAAATTGTTTATTCAGCATTGTTCAGCATAGAGATGCGGAATGACCGTCCTTTTCCCTTTCGGTCGGGTCTAACGCAAATGACCGTTTCTGATCCTTTCCGGTCGGGTCAAACGCAAATGATCCGTTTCTGATCGTTTTTTGAGTCTGACCAAATTTTGTATGCAAAATCACCGTCACGGTTAAGCTGTGTCAGACTCGAGACAAAATGATAATAAATCGTCTATATAGTTTCAAATTACTTCGGTCATTTTTTAAGGGTGACCAATCGCGACCCTGCGATTTGTCACTTTCGCGGGGATTCGCCGCCGTGTTATTTAGGCTTTGGCGTTGCCAAATTCACTCTACACTTCCCGAGCGCGTTTAGCGAGTTTCCAGCAACGTCGCGTCATGGGAAATTTCATCTAACATGAGAAGAAATAGTTCATCCATTCGAAATAATTGGTTTTCTTTAGGAATTTTGGGAAATATGTTGTTCCGAAAACTAATATAATTTTTCAGACACTTCAATTGTCACAGTTAATTTTTTTCAATTTTTTCGGTTAACAATGCACGGCCGAGTTTCTCTCATAGGGTGATCAATCTAGGGTTAACAGTGGAGAAATAGTTGGAAATAGTACCCGAAAATTGAGGGTCACCTATATAGAGGGAAATTGGCGGTTAAAATTCATTCGGTCATTCCATGCTTACGGCCAATCGTCATTTTTTTGACCATATGGTCACGTTCTCGGCGCGGTAATTACCGGTCATTACGGAGGTGATCGACGGTCATTTTTGCCAATCACATCTAGTGCAACACCGCCACAGCATGGAATTTGAGAAAAATACGAAATCCGTAAAACTCAGGTCCGCATTGCAAGATTTTGAATTTCTGGCATTCCACATGTGCAAATTATAGATTAAAAATTTTGCCGAGAAAATATTGTGTCAGTGTTCAAGTACACCAATTATTCATCTTTCCTTTTATTCCTTTATTATCTCTTCAAAGGGAAAAGAAAAACTAGAGATTGAAGTAAAGAGGTCTAAACAAGTTTCGGAGAGCAGAGAAGTCTTCACTGAGAATTTGAAGAATGAGTTACTTTCTGTCAAGGATCAATTGGCAGCTTTGGAGACTCAGATGTCCAAGGAGCGCGAGAAACTCCTCAAACTTCGTGAGGATAAGAAAATCCTACTCGAGAAGGTACAGAATACTTCTGTTCGATTTTAATGCTACGACCTATATTCAGTTGAATTGATCCGTGGGTGAGTCACTCCTGGTGGTTGGCGAAGACGAGGCCACGTGGGGGTGGTTGGGGGGTGACTTGGGTTCGCGGAAATGATGATTCAGGGCTTTTGCATTCAGATTCTAGGAACTAGGATTCAACGTCGTAATCTAGCAGGAGAAACACTAATTGCTGAAAGTTTCATCGTGTTGTAACATGAGGGGATGAAACATTTTAGTGTGGAAGTGAGGGTTTAGTTGAATCAAAAACTTCTTAATTACTTTGGGAAATTAACCTTCAGAATTCTTTCTCAAGAGAACCGTCCATTTTGAGTGTTAAAAACCACTTTTGTGAAGTTTTATAATGACAATTTTTTATAAAGACTCAGTAGAGTGTTCTCACATTTTCGAAAATAGGAATGAAAATATAAAAAATCATTGCATTACATTCCACCGTTCTTCTACGGGGTTAATCTTCACCCATTGAGAAGTAACACTTTCCTACCTCACGTTAACTTTGATTGTTTTCCATTACATAATTTCGATCAACAAAGATAGAAGTACTAGACGTCGAGAATCTATCGTCGATGAGTTCAACGCACGCTCGAGCCTAGTCAAGGGATGATTCACGCGACAATATTTTGCGCGGTGACTCAAACAGTGTTTATAGTGTCACTTGTAGCCAACTCCTAGAAATCGATACACACGACTTCGCCTATGAACTTTGCTTATGTAGATCGAGCACGCATTAATCTTTCAATCTTTTCTTTATGAAATTTTTCATGAGCCGCAGGTCTCAGGGAGTGAGGCTCTAGCTGCTGAGCGTGGAGAGAAAGCCGAGAGAGTTGAGAAAATACGAGAGGAGTTACAGGGGAGGCTGGGAGTCCAAGTAGAAATAATTGATACTCTCCAAGGAGATAAACAAAAGCTCAGCAGGTCTATCATCTTTCATTCGTAAAATTCCCTCGAGGAATACTAATTGTTTTTTTTCCGTAATTGTTAAGGGATTTGAAAGTCGTTGAGATGGAGAAAGTTAGATTAGAAAAGAGACTGTCATCGAGTGAGGAATCTGGAAAAGCTTTGAGCCTGCGCGTTAATGATCTTGAAATGCAGTTGGGGGATAGGGAAGCTGCACTTCGGAGAATCGAAACTGCATATAATGCTCAATTGTAAGCTTCAATATTTTTAACTCAACTTTAAGGTCAGATTTTGTTAGACATCTTTGCATCAAATTGAAACAGATTTCTATTTTCTATTTTTATGTTTTTGAGACCGTCCAACTTTCAAGTTTTACGGGCCGTTATGACTTTTAATCGGGACGTTGCGTTCATTATCAGGTGGATAATATAGGAACAAACTGGCCGTTATCCCTCTTAATTAGGATTTTTCTTTAATAGTGGGAGTTGATTGTAAAGGTTATAAAATTAGATATAGAAAAAAAACATTTTGCACCTAAAATAGCCCTGATAGCGTGAAAAATAACGCCACTAGAGAACATTAACCCTAGTCTGGTCACCTGACGGGAAAAGCGACTTTAGTCACCTTCGCGGGAGTGTGCCGCCGTGTTATTTAAGCTCCAGCGTTGCCGAATCCACTCTACACTTCCCGGGCGCGTTTAGCGAGTTCCCAGCAACGTCGCGCAACAGACAATTTCATTTAACACGGGAAAAAATTGCTCACCTGTTGGAAATAATTTTTTTTCTCCCAGAATTAAGGATACAATATTGAAAAAAAAATACTAGAATTTCCCGGGTACTTCAATTGACGAATTCAATTTTTCTCAAATTTTTCCGGTCAACCCATCTTCAATACGAAACATTGGTATCATGAGAGAAAGATTCTGTCCAAATTTCAAGTTGATATATCGATTTTTGCACAAGCTAGAGTGTACAAAGTTTTTTTTAATGAAAAAAAGGAAAAACGGGGTACCTCGAAAAATTTCTATGAACGGGAATATATGTTTCGACTGATTTAGATAGAAGGCATCGAAATGAATATTTTGAGAACAAAAAAAAAAGAAATCGGTTCACTAGTTTTGAAGATATTTGCGGAAAATGATTTAAAAACAAATCGTTTTTTTCCCCAAACTATTAGATCGACCGGGCTGAAAATTTGCACAAAGCAAATTGCAGAAAAAATTTTTACAAAAAATTTAGTCCTCGCTAGGACTTAAAATTCGACAAAATTTCAGATTGTTGGAATTAATTTAGCCACTTAATTACTCAATTTCCTAAAAATTGACCATCGGGAAGGTGGCGGTGGACGTGGTCACGTAAAGACATGGTCGCCAAATTTCGTATTTTTAGAAAAAATATCTCTGCGGGCGAGGACAGCAACATGAATATCTCGGAAACTAGAATTGACAAAGTGGGCCCTTTTTATACGGACCTCCACAATTATTCATGGTGAAATTTTTACGTTATTCTGGGATTTTTCTCGAAATGAAAATTTCAGAATTGAGCTTAACGACCTTCGACAGCGACTTGTGCGTCAGAGCCAAGAAAGTCGATGGAGTAACGCAGTTCTTCAAATCGCTGGACGGGTCGTAAGAGTGCCTCGAGCTATCCTGAGAACTCTCTCCTTCCTTTCCACCACCCCTCAACCATCTCACCCGTGAATACCAAGGAGAACTGGAAGAAACTCTTTAAAGAATATTCTGTAACTTGTTTGATAGAATGTTCGGTAAAGTGCGGAGTTATCCGAAGCACCCAAGGGACAACGTCTTAGATGTGAAAACTCTGATGGATTATTACTGGAAGCTGGCTCATCAATCTTTTGGACTTAACATGGAATTAACAAGTGATCAATCATATTGGAGCTTATTTTTTTAATTAGGATATATTACCTGGAAAACTAGGTCGTTCATATCTAATGGATGAAAAAACAAAAAATCGGGAGAGGGATGGAATTTTTTGCTAGAGTAAATGAATAAATAAATCTCTTTTTGCTGCTTTTGATCTATATTTTTTCATTCAACATTTTTTTTTGAAACTCAGTGATTTGGAAAAAACAATCTACCGACACCGACATCAGGTCTACTTCATACTTTGATTGTTCCATTATGTTTCATGCGAGTTTTTAAATAAATCAGTAGTGAAATGACGAGTTCAGATAAATCCGAAATAGTTTTGGAAATTTTACAAATATCTTCATCAGATCTAGAGGGATTCCTTAAAAGATCTCTTTTTGGGAAAAATTTTGTAGATTATGACAAAGTCTGTATTCGTTTTTTTTTCGTAAATCTACTAATATCCAAGATGTTGATAAAAAAAAAATGCGTGAAAAAAGGGAAATGAATCTCTGAAAATTGAACAAAATTAAGTCAAAATAAATTATTCGGAAATTATCTCAAACAAAACGTCATCAATGAGTTAAAACTAAAAAAGTTCATGTGATACAAAAAAGGTCTTGACATTTTTCGGAAAATCCAAAGTTCCAGAGGCATAAGAGGCACAATATCGTGCATCAAATTTTCAGGTTCATGATAATCACTTCAGCACCTCCCTACGAATTTCCGTAACTAAATTTAAAAAATTGTCTGACTAGTAGATCATTCAGTGCCACAATTTTAATTACAATTTATATTTGTCACTAACCGTCTCTCGATCTGCAGAAAATGTCATTTACAATTCAATCTAATCAATCAAAACTACATGAGTTAACGAAGTGTTTTTTTTTTGTATTTGCATTCAACATTTTTCACGACTATATTCGAGATAACGTCAGCACTCGGCGTTTTACGCTTAAACGTTAGTAAAAATTCACAACTATTCCTAAGCATCAGTTCATTACGTCGTATATCAGGGACTATACTTTCGAAATAATTTCACATAACAAAGACTTTACAAGTTCCTCCTAACATTTCATTTCTAATCTACAAAATAATGGTATTAGAATTCTTCGATCATGGATTCAATTACATTTTCCCCTAATTATTCATGTTGTCTCGGCCGAATAATAGTCACTGGAACGTAAAAAAATACGAGAACAGCATTTTTACCCGGTTGGATAATTATGACATGCGTTTTAATCACTTTTTAAAGAATTTCTTTACATCACTACGCAGTCACGAAAGCATAGAAATAGAGATGCAATTGCAATGAATCTCGAAAAATTCTTAGTTCTCAGTTCGAAAAATTTTCTAATTATAATTTCAGTATCGGAATGATAAGAAAAGATAAATCCAAGAATCAGATTCTGATTATTCCATGAAAACATCTGAAATTATGAGGTTCAAGGAAAAATATCAAAAGGGCTTTTTCATAGTTCATAAAGTATTTTACAAAAAAAGGTCCTTTGATCTATTTCGTTGGGTCTCATCCTTCCCAAGATATTTTCATAAAAAAACGCATTTTTCATTTTGACTCGTCTCTTGCTATTTACATATTCAGTAAGGTTTTTATAGCAAAAACTCACAGTTACGAGCCTCTAAAATCAATACATACTCGTTACTTATATTTGTTTCTCGAGAAAGTATAAGATTTCAAGATTATTCAATTTATTTTCTTTTCTTTTATCGTCAGTCGACAATATTTGTATCCTTGGAAGAAGAATTGATGAAAGTACTCTCACAATGCAATTGAAAATTTTTTTGTTCTGGAAATGCATCTACGAGCTCTGAAAAATTTTGTTTGTGACTAGTGCTTTCTTCCGAATAAATTAAGTATCTCAGTTAAATTGTTCTCTCATATAAACAGATAATTAGACTAGATTCATTTAATCTCTTAAATCATGCCGAAGCCTTCGGTACCCTCGCTGATAGCAAGTAGCAGAGCCTTCTCGAAGTGGTCGTAGCACTCGTAGTCAGGTAAGCATAGTTGATTGAAGCTGTAAACAACAATCTCACGATTAATTAAATTCTATCGTGTTCTCCGACTGAATGGAACAAAGCGATAAAAATCAACAAAAAACTTGTAAACTTCTTCATGAGTACGTACCAGGTGTGGGCCGTTGGTAAATTGGCAAAAGTTGGAGCTGCTGTGATTTGAAAGCGTGGACTTAATTGCTGGAAGCCACCAGGTGGTAGTTGAGAGCAGCCAGTTGTAAATTGGAGCAGTCGTGCCATTTCCTCTTGTGTGAAGTTACTCACTGCTGTCCAGAACCAATCGAGTACACGAAGAAATTCGGGTGAGCTACCATTAACTATGTGATGGGCACGAAGATCTGAAACACTATATTCTCCAGTGCCACAGAGCAAAAGCTGCAAAGAGAAGAGCCCAAAATTATTGACTCCGCAATAGATTTTTGAATTATTATGCAAATATTCCTTGAACTGAGAGGTCGTCAATTCATCAAACAACATTTTCCTCTTTCCGCTAGTTCCAGAGATATATGCAACAAATACTGTTTTTTTTAAAGGCCCGGGTGGATTATCTTTCGAACGAGATCTTGGTTGTTTTTTTTATTTTTTGATAATCTGAAATGAGCTCCAATTGCTATTCAGTTTTACATAGCCCTGGAGTCTCCAAAAATTATGATTGTGCAATCAAAAAACCGCTGAAAAATAGCAGAACATTTTAAAGAGCATTGTTAAATAATATTAGGAAATAAACCCAATAGGGAGGAAATGAATAATTTGATGTAGGGGAGACCGGGGCAAAACGGAGTAGTCGGGGCATAGTAGGGTATGTGAAAAAAAGTATATGAAAGTTCCATTATTTTTATTTTCCCTGAATAAATAATATTTTCATGGGATAAATGATTTCCTTACAATAAATAATCACCGGGGCACAGTGGAATACTCATATTTTTTTTCGGAAATAGATTTTCCCACTATATGAAGAATGGGGTACAATGAGGATTTTGCCGGAAAAAAAGTCATCTTTTATCGGATATTTAATCCTCTCCAATAAAGGTCTTTTGACATTTTTTGGCAGGGCTGCTCGTTATCGCGATATTTGAAAAACAAAATTAATTTGACGAATAACGAAAATTTTTAAAAATGTATAGAAAATCGTTACAATGTACTCTTCTGTTGATGAATATGAAATTGAAGAAAAAGAATTCTTTTATGCGCACCCTATCGTGTCCCCAATTAAAAAATCGATTCCTCGGGACCTTCACGACCGATTTCAAAGTTTTTCTATCGTTTTTTTGGAGATTGAAAGGTGAAAAACAACGAAACAGCATTTATAATTATTTTAATAATAATAATAATTATTATCATTATTATTTTAAAGTTTTTTAAAGAGACCTCAGTTGATAATTTTAGAATGTGAATAGTCATTGCTAAAAGGCAATATAAGTGTGATAGAAGCTCTGACACCCGCCTCTTTGTCTTAGCTACCCCGCCTTGTCCCGATCTCCCCTATCTAATGGCTGTTAGGTCGTCATTTGTCACAGTAGTCAATGGCTATCAGATCGTTAGTTACCATGATAAATTATCCATTCACTATTTCCTCTCTATCGGACTTATTTCTTAATCTTCATTAAAAACGCCCTTTGAAAATCATCCGTTTTTTTATTGTACAATCATAATTTTTAGGGACTCCTGCGTGATGTAAAATCCAAGGGGAACTGTGATATATTTTAGATTATGAAGATGAAAAAACAATCGAGATAACGTTCGAAAGATAATCCACCCGGGCCTTAATGATTTACCTCAAGTTCATTCTCATCAAATATTCCAAGTAAATTATCTGGAATAAGTTCATTCAATCCCCGTAAAAATGCATCGACCTCATTCCTGATAGAGCTAGCAAGTCGATGTTGAGCAAGTGCATCTAAATAACGTAACTTAGTGTCTTTAGTAACACGTATTTTACTCCCTCCAGGAATTAACTCTGCATTATTAAGTAATTGACCGTCTTTATCGTACTCCTCCTCCACAAAGTTAAGTTCCATCTCTTCAACATCATTTTCAAGTATGTATTTAACTTTACTCAGATATAAATCCGGATCATCCTGCTCGAAGTACTTGTAGTGTACCCTAAGACCGATAATTTGTGCTAAAAATGAACGTGTAAATCTTGCTCTCACTAATTGCCGATATGATCCACCTAGTGCGGATTCATAAAGACATTTTCCAACAATTCGACCAGCGAATTCATAATGCTTAAGCTTAAGTTGCGATGGTCTTTTGTTGTTCGGATGTACAAGTGCCTGTTGAGATTCACCAAACGATGCAAATAGACCATTGCCAGGATCAAACAATGATGCGCAGATTAATTCGAACCACTCGCGTCTGACCCCACCCCAGTCAACTCCTTGCTCTCCTTGGAACGTGATCTCAAAGTTTCTGCACCAGTCGCTAACTGAGAAGCCCTTAGTTGCCTTCATTGATGACTCCAGGAGCTTTTCACGCTGGACTTTCATCGTTAATTTCTCGTGGTAATGCTTCTGATGGTGTTTCCTTACTTCGTGATAAAAGAAATTCTGTTTATCAGCGAATGTCTCACTACCACCGATATTTTTTAGCAGAAATAGGGTGAATGTTGCTGCGATTACGTCACGATAGTGGGAGATCAATTCTACTGGTGGCTGACAGCCATCGTCGATGGAAAAGGAATCGTAGCCTTCGTATTCATTGTTCGTACTGTCGAAATGAAACTGAAATTGATAGAAAGAGATATTTTGGAAAGGGGTAAACGAGATAAGTCAACTTATTTTGAAATAAAGGGACTCCTGTGAAACTCGATTTAATATAAAAGATTGAGAGCTAGGGTGAACAGGTCAATTGCTGGACGGTTAAGGGGCGTTCCACACTATTTCAATGGCGAATTTAGTTGAGTAAGGAATCGGCAAACTTTGAACATTTATATCTCAATAATTACCCATTTTATATGGAAAACTCGGCAGGGCTTTAGTGTTCGGAAAGGATGGTTACTTATTAAAAAAAAATTATCGCTCGGAAAAAGTAAATATTATTGCAACTTTTTAAATAAATAATTAGAAAAACCGTTGTAGTTATGTGAGTTGCCCCTAAAAAATTTGAAAAAAAAATATGTTGTGGGAAATATTGTTGAGAAAGCTGTGTCAAAATTTTGTTTAATGACATTCACTGATGGTTGAAATATTAATTTTCTTATGAAGTCGTGCGTTGTCCCCGCGGTTCAGTGCGCTACCCAATTCAAGCGCTCTCAATCCGCTGAAACTTTGAACAACCGCAGCTCACTCAGTACTTATTTCATGGTAAAGTATGTTTTTTTTGTCATTATAAAAAAATGAATAATCATGAAAACTGTTGTATTTTTTCTAAGACAATGGATTTTGGAAGAGAATGGAACGCTCAAACTGAGCGGCAAAGATGTCAAATGACTTCATTAAAAAATTAATATTTTACGAGCCAGCTGATATCATTAAACAAAAATTTGATACAACGTTCTTAATAATATTTCCCACAAGATATATATTTTTTATATTTTTTCAGAGTAGAACTCACGAAACTACAACCACAAATACCAATAATATTTACTTTTTTCGATCAATTTATTTTTACATAACGAACTATTTTTCCTCAACAATAAAGTCGTTCTGAAATGTTTTGATTAAAAGCATAACTTTTGAGATATAAATATTCAAAAGCACGTCAATTTTTATAATTTTAAGGAAAAAAAAATTGCTCCCGTTGAAATAGCGTGCAATGCCCCATAAGTTTCTTTGGCTATAAAGAGAATATAAGTATTTGCATGAAGGGGGTTTCATAAAGAAGTAATGAGAGTTTCAGAAAAATGTTAATTTTTTCATTGGTTTCGCCACCGCACTTCTAATTTCAAAAATTCGAATTAGCAAAATATGAAAATAAATAAATGAAAACGAAAAATTACACACCCTTGACAATTTTACCTTAGTCGAAGGACATAATCTAAAGGTGACGAGGCGTTTTGGGATGAATCTTAGGAGATACTCTTTGATAGTCAATTGCTTCGGGGATATGAAGCAGAATACTTTTTTAGGCTTGGAGAATCGTTCTCCCTGTATCCCCAGGAGTTTGGCAGCATAGCATATATCCGGATCCTTTGACGCGACGTTGTGATGTACCATTCGCGCTACAGAACTCTCCAGTACAATAATGTCGAAGTCACCATTGTGAAGCTGCAACCCAGATAGACTGACTGTTGCATGGTAACAGCCGCCTTTTGGGAATCCAACTTTTAATCTTATTCGTTGATTCGGCTCGTCGTACTCAAGGTGAATGTTGCATACTGCTGATTGACCTCTTTCGGAGCATCCAACCTGGAGATTGGAAAATTTAAAAGGAAAAACTTTCTTTATTATCTTGTGCTATTTTTTTAAATGTCAGAAGGCCAGTTGCGCCGAGCTCTATTAGCTATTTAAACCCTAGGGTCAAATTTGGTTTCTGTGTAAATCTTATGGGCTAACTGGCTATCAGTTAATGACTTGGTTGTCTGAAGATGGTGCAACACGCACGAAAAAAATTAATAGAAAAACTCTGCGAATTCGCTGGACAATTCTATTGCATTCCTATCAAATGTTCTATTAGTTTTTGACCGATTCTATTGAAATGTTCAATAGAATCGAAAAAATCAATAGAATTGGACTATTCGACTGTTGGTTTGTATAGTTAACAATCGGATCTGCTCTGCGCGGCAAACGAACAGTAAAGAATTATTTTTTTGCACTAGTTATTCGTTTTTAGACATATATAATCGATCTTCAATGTATGAGAAATCTCATTCCAATAGCCCGCGATTTTTAAAATTCATAGTAGTCTCCCTGCAATCGAGATAAGTATACCCAGTCGTATAAAGTTTTCGAGATATTGCCATTGTTCTTTTTCTTATAATTTTTATGAAGCTATTTTTTGTACAAATCTGAATAACTAGTTGATGGCGAAAAAAAAACTAATACACCGTTAAGTAGAACATCCACAGTGCCATGCTTAGGGTCGTCTGCTTATTTTTTACTAAAGCAGCTACATTTGCCTCTTTTGTAGCACTTCTACTAACTGTATCGACAGAAAGTCTCCGAGTATAATAGAGTTTTACTCCCCCTAAACCTAGAAATTACAAAATTTCAGCTCTCGAACTTTCCTATTTTTTTTTACGTTCTCATTTTAACGTAAAATCCGATACAGAATTGAACAAAAAATCAGTTCTACATCAGGGAAGCTCTTTATTTTTATTATTGCGGAAAGATGATGCTGATACCTTGGATGAAAATAGAACTCAAAAATGGAAAATGCAAGTTCTCACCCCTATCAGTTGTATCATTATAAAATTTTGTTGCAACACGTATGAAAAAATCCTATGGAGAATTCGAACATTTTCTATAGAATTTTTCAGATAGAATTTCCTATAGGATTTCTTATACCATTCCCTATCAGGCTTTTCCTATCGGATTTCTTACAGGATGTCTTATTGAAAATCTTATAGAATTCATAAGGGTCAGAATGTGGGCCAAAAGAGTCATCTGAGTCACTAATATGACTCCCCTATGATATCCATATGACACCTATATGACCCTCATATTGCCCTTCAATGACTTTAATGACCTTTTATGACCCACATGATCCACATATGACACCTTTGACCCTTATGTCCCTAAACTGTATAGGAAATCCTGTTCAAAACCTCATATGAAATCCTATAAAAAATCCTATAGGACACCTTATAGGAAATACAATAGGAAAAACCTGATAAGGAATCCTATAGCATGTTTTCATGTGTGGAATTACAAGGATTCGTTTAACTCACTTGAGTAATATTAACGTTGTACCCATCTGTTGGCTGATCATCAGGTCCGAAAATACACAAATTGTCATACTCGTCCCTCGGCTCTATTGTCATCGAGTGGGCAATTCCAGCTGTGCACACAACCGTCGAGCTCTGTCTTACAAAAACGGTTTTGTTGGGATCCGGTGGACCGGGAAGAAAACTCTTGAGGAAAGGGCTGCCATGCACATGACATGAGCCAATGAGCACTGCTATACGATATTGTCCAGCATGACGAACAGTAAATTTAACAACTGCTGTATTAGCTGCTAATGGATCAGTACCACCTAAATCTATCACGGTTGCTACCCTTCTTGTACCCTCTGATACATCCACTAATAGATTGTCTTTGTCACAGATTGGATAGGGCTGACCGTTCCGTTGGTAAAACTGGAAATAATTTATTGTTATGTAGATGTTCTTTGTATTTTAGTAATTTAGTGACGAAGTAGTAAAAGATAACGTGTTGTTTTTTTAGGAATGGATCGTGTCGATTCAGAGATGTTCTTCCAAAAATTAACTAGAAGATAACTCGACTTGTTACCAATTTAGCTTTTGAAATGAGCGAATTTGAAAAAACAACAAGACGAATGCTCTCACTTGAACAAAAGATCTCTCGATCATTTGTTTTCATATCCACAGAAAAAAAAGTTTCTAGTTTTTAGTAAAAAATCTCCGATTTTTAGAATTTTGTCGTATTGAAATCTAGCGAGTAAAAAATCTTGGAAATGAGAGAAATTTCCACACATTTTCAGAAAATGTTCCCTTGAAATCGTATACAACAGTTTTGACTCTAAATCGTTTTTCTTAAATTGAATATAATTATATTCAAATTGAGGCACATGTTCTATTATTTCAACGAAATCTTGAAATAAAAATTTTGGAGAGCTTTAATTAAGACCGTTCATTTCTCCAAATAAAGACAATGACTTTTCCTGTTCTAAAATTAACCTACTCATGTTTATAAATCTTTTGTTTTTCAAAATACCTGACACCTTGAGTCAATTAATATCCAAATCAATGTTCTATTATTTCAGAATTTTATGTCTTTCAAAAACGCAAAGGTTCTTAATTTAAGAACCAAAAGGTTCTTGATTTATAGACTTTTTTTTACTTGAAATAAGTAGATTTTTGGTACCGAATTTTAGGTACTTCTTTTTTTAAACAGGGTAACCAATTCGTCACTTTCAACACAATGTTCAACACAATGTTTGTTAAACTAAGTTCTGGAAATTAGAAACTTCCTTCCCCTGTGTGAAAGTTTAATATAAATTTTCCTAAATTATATAAGTAGCATACTTTAACGGTAAATGTCATAGTCTCTCCAACAAGCTGGGGCTCATCCCACTCAAAGTGAACACGACAGTTGCTTGGCAGAAGATACTTGCCGGTGACATACTGCAGCAGCGAGTGTTTTGCTTCTGGTGCTAGGGCGGGTTGTGTCATAGCCGCAAGGGTGACAAGCCCAGCGACTGACACTGAAACCACTAGCATTCCACCTGCAAAATCGCGACAAGCTTTTTGTTAAATCTCATAATCCTTACAATTGTTTTTCTTAAGACTGACCCCATGTCCAGGCATCTTGGTGTTGACTGTTCTTAACCACGGAACTCCACAGGTCAGCTTTAAGCCCCTCAAGATCGTCTTTCGACGTCGGAAGGGACTGTCGCGCCTGTATCCACTTGGGAAGGTCTTTCCCAAGGGCTGTACGTGCCTCATTATCCTCCACCCAATACACATCCTCCAGTGATAACACTTCCATCTGCATTAGCCTTCGAGAACAACGCATCATCAGTTAATTATCCACTACTTTCATTGATGGAATAATTTAATTTATTGTGAAGAAGTGAATAAAAATAAACAGGTGTTCTTTGCGTCATTAGTCTCTTTCTTTGTTTTATTTCTATCAATTCCATTGGTAATAAGCTTCCAAATGGATCCGTAGCAGGGATAGCCATATCCATAAATTATAATTACTGTTAAATTATTAAGTAGTCAATTAGTTGATATCGCTCTTAAATTTTAATTATTGAAGTAATCATCAACTGAACTTGTCAAAGTTCTAATTATTCATTAATCTGCAATTGAGTTAAGAAGATTGACGATTATTTGGATACCAGGAAATCCCTTATAAGAAATTTAGAATTATCTACTTAATAGAAAATTTATAGTTCCATATTTTTTAATATTTAATTCATCATCAATTGGAAATTTGAATTATCAATTATTTTACTATTTTTTAATTTAGATTAGTATATTTAAACACTGATCAATGTAAATCGGAAATTCTTTAACTTTCTTGTGACAGGCATACAACCGTAACCACATGCTACAGGGCGTCTACAGGAAAATATTCAACCTTTTAATGAAATAGATTTATACAAAAGGTTAAATACCAAAGTACCAAAAGAGTCCTTTGACTTTTTTGTGGAAATGAGATGTATGAAATTTCCACATTCATTTCTTGTTAAGACTACAAATTGATCGCATTAAATGGTATTTTCCGTACTTCTGATAATGAGAACTGAGACCATGATCGCTTAGCCACTGTCGAAGAACCAATCGTTGCTGCAGCATCCTTGCAGCCCGCTGTAGGCGTTCCTCATCCTGCGGCGGTAATTCCGGTAGTGCATTAACTTCGCCGCAGCTCGCGAGACTCGAAATGCCTTTTTTCCAGAAAATATATAAAATACCTTAAGCTTCAGATTCCACATTTTCACATTTTCGTTGAAGATTAAAAATTTGTAAAAAAAATATCTTATGAGTGGAAAAAAAATGGGTCAACTAGGAAGTCTCCATTTTTCCGTCACTGATAAGAACCGTATTTTTAGGCATTTCTTTATATGGCCTTCGTTGGCAGGGATTTATCTCCACGAGTTTCCGTTTTAGTCACCAGCATCCTATGAAATATCTTTACATTCTTTTTCATCAGCTCCCAGTATTTATTCTACAACAATGTCGAGTGCCTGGCTGCTGGGGCTTTTCTGCGTACTAAAGTGCATTGAAATCACACACGCTAGATGTTCTAAATCGCAGTATGAATCTGGTAATTATTCTTTTTAATTAAAATAGTTAATTAATACATGAAGAAGACAAATACGCTCGGGGAGAGAATAAGATGATTAATTGTGAGAAATTGGGGCGCATAAAATATCTGATGTAAAGGCTATTCACGATGGCGCAAAACCCGGGAGTCCTCGCTTTTACACTGAATAAAACTTTACCTCTTTATCCGTGAAATTTTTCGCTTTTCAACAACTCCAGATTTTATAGATAATTCTGAGTATTCTTAGTAGAGGGAGGAGCTATATTCAGCCTTTTCTCACCTTTGAAGCGCCAATGTAGGAAACTTCATGTTTAAAAAAATCCAATTCAGATCGGATTTCAATGAGATTTTGATAGCGTACGAAGCGCTGGAAAGCCAATAAATGTGAAAAGCCCTAAATTGTAATAAGGTCAATAGTATGTGATCGCTAATATTGCTGACGATTGTTTTTCCTCAAATAGTTTCGAAAGTCACAACTATTGTCCGCTATTAATAATATTTTTTCAGTGAATTTGAATTAAATCACTTTTTTTCCTACATGTAACAGCCGATTTATCTCCGGGGCATCAATATGTAATAGACTGTGTCAGTTTCCAATCATGAGCCATTGTTTTCACGCCGTCGCATGAAAACCATTGCGTTTTTGGGTGAAGATGAACACTGAACATCCATGCACCGGTGTTTTCTATTATTTTTCTCTTTTTTGGTCAATGACACATATTTTAACAGATGCTGTGAATGATTCTCACGATAAAACAGAAATTGATCACGTAATTCAAGAGCTGTTCGAACAAAATGAATTTTTACGTGTTATACCCAAAAACGCAACAGTTTTCATGCGACGAGGTGAAAACAGGCAGGGGACAGCGAACATATGACAGTGAGCATGTCACAGAGTGATATCTTTTTTTTTTTGCCATCAATACATTAATGGCGGGTTTCCGAATGGTCTGAAATATGACAAAAGTTTAGCGCTTCACAACACTAACTAGCAGCAAAATTTCAGATGGATACGACCACCTCCATGGGTGCTACAAAAATTCCAATGTTTCGAATACTTCGTATGAGCGGGTATACATGTTTTCTGTCCAAATTTCAAGTTGATATCTCGATTTTTGCACAAGCTAGAGTATTTACAAAGTTTTTTTTTTGTACGAAAAAACGGAAAAACGAGGATATCTCGAAAACTTTGCATGAACGGGTATATATGTTTTGATTGATTTAGATAGAAGGCGTTGAAATGAATATTTTGAAAAAAAATCGAAATCGTTCTACTAGTTTTTAAAGATATTTGCGGAAAACGATTGAAAAATGAATCGCTTTTTTCTGAAAAACCATTAGATCGATCGGGCTGAAATTTTACACAGAGCTAGTCCTCATTAGAACCTATCATCTGTCAAAATTTCAGATTTTTTGGAATTATTTTGACCACTTAATTACTCAATTTTCTAAAAATTGACCGCCGAGAAGGTGGCGGTGGATGTGGTCACATACAGACATGGTCGCCAATCTTCGTATGTTCACGTTCCAGACCATTCCACATCATTTCCAATCAAAATTAGAGAGTGTAAAAATTAAAGGATTGCAATTCTTCCATTCGGAAGCAAAAATGGCTCATAATTGGAAACTGAAACAGTCTAATGTACAGTTTCCATTCATCTGAGTTTTTCAATTGACGGAGTACGTTGCACTGAAGAAATCGAGCCAGATAGTATTAGTATATTTAGCATTTGGAACTTGCACAAAGTAATGATGAACCATCTATTCATTCGTGCATTTTCAGTGTGCCTAACCGCGCGTGTATATCTCGTCCTATCTCGTTAATTGCTTCTGATTAACTAAATTTTGCTCAAACTTTTTTCTCATCTTTCTTCAACCAATAAACGTAATCTTTTAATTTAATCTCTCCTCTCTCAGCTGCTATTAAACTTAATATTTCAGGACCTGGTTACTGGCTGAAATGTTCCAACAGCACTATAGCAGATGTCTCCAACGAGCAGGCAGTACTCTCCGCAATAACGATGTTAAACTCAAACATGAAATATATCTCGGCAAACTCATTTATGAAGCACCGAGGAACTCTGATTGTACTGAACCTCCAGAACTGCGAGATATTCGACGTGCATCCCCTTGCCTTTTCCAACTTTCCAAAATTGAAAAAGCTGAGTCTGTCTCACAATAAATTGACGCATTTGGAAAGTAATTGGTTCATGGATCTCCCAAATCTTGAACAACTGGACGTCTCGTACAACCTCATTCGAACAGTACAAGCTAATTTTTTCACAAAAATGCCGAGACTTCGACTTTTGAGTCTAGCTGGAAATCAGCTGAACTGTCTTGATCTAAAAGAATTGGCACCCTTGGGGAGTCTCGCAAAAATAAGAATCTCGGAGAATCCAATGTCGTTCCTCTGCCGCGGACAAGTAACCATAATTTTTTCAGAATTAATTCAGTCTTATCCATTGAATAATCAATCCTGCACCAGCAGATTATTCTGAAAGCCTTTCACAGATACAGGGATTGAGAGAAGAAAATCAAGAAACTATTTCTGTAGTTCATGAGATATTTTACGAAAAAAGATGCTAGTTTCCAAAATATTTCCTTGAAAATCACTCCAATGATTGAGTAGATCGATAGTCTACTTACGAGACTATTTGACAAAGATCTTGAAAATAGAGAAATTTACACCCAAAACGCGCAAAGTGTAAATCAACTCTTGCTTAGTTTGTTTTACTCCTTTGTTGGCGGCGCTTTACCCTTTCCACGTAGAAGAATACAATAACTCAGTTCTGGAGTTGATTTTTTATACCAAACCAGCAGGGGTTCGTCCTTTACTTCTTACGTTATTGGTCTTTTTCTATTTTTTATTTCTACCAATTCCATTGGTAGTGAGCTTCCGAATGGATCCGTAGCAATTCCCTATCCTTGTGACAGGCATACCGTCACATCAGGGTGTCTACAGGAAAATATTCAACCTTTTAATGGAATCGATTTATACGAAAGGTTAAATATCTCTAAAATTGCTCGGCCGACTACGCCCATCTAAAATACCAACCTTCAGTATTATAAGAGCATAATCATACCAAATTTCAACTTGGTATCTTTTTTTTTCTCAAGTTTTCGAGACGAATGACAATTGAAAAATCGAAAAATGGCAATATCTCGAAACCTTGGTATGAGCAGGTATAGATATTTTGATTGATAGAAGCCGTCGAGACAAGTATTTTGAAAAAAGAAAAATTTAAATTGGTGCAATAGATTTTGAGATATTGAGGAAGAACGAAATTTAAACAAGTTGTAATATCTCAGGAACTACTGGATCGATCGGGTGGAAACAGCACGCTAAAGTTGAGCTCAATCATATCTACAATAAGCCAAAATTTCTGATGTTTATCTACAAATTTCATCGTCGAGTTTTCTGAATATTAATCACCAAAAACCCGAGACTTTACAATCGAAAGGAAAACGGATAGATCATCCCCAGATCGGGATGGAGATCCCATTTTGGGGATAATTCACACCTGAAAAATAATCAACTGATCCTCCATTCGGGTTATTTTATCCCCTCTATGGTTAATACTCTCAAGAAGGTATAGAATACACTAAGCAAGAGTTAATTTACACTTATCGTTTTTTGCGTTCAGAGAAAATGGTTAATAGTATATTTCCGGCCTGTTGCGATGGGGTTTTTTACTCGCGTGGCGTTGGCCTCCGAGCCGTAGGCGAGGACTGGCCAACCACACGAGTAAAAAAACCCCATCGCAACAGCCCAGGAACAATATTTCTCTGTAGTGATTTTCAAGTTTTCGAGTTTGGGAAGTATGTAATACCAATTCCCAGACGAGAAATCGTGAGAAGCAGTACAGAAAAATAATTTTTTACAGAAAATTCCAAAAACTACAAAAAAAGTTTTT